GTAAGTATCCCTATTCCAGACTTTCTTCTATAAAAGTCCAGATGTTATTATTGCTGTTACTGTTTATTCATTTAGGCCTCCTGGAAAACCCTCTAATATTTGGGAGGGGAAAAGCAGGTGTACTTGGCTTTAAAAATGATTGAGGATTCACAGCAACATTGTGAAACTGATGACATGCTCTGTGAAAGTCTTTGGGAAAACTAAATATCAACATGCTTGGAATGCATGTTTTCACAGTTAGATGGCATGAGCCATTGCATCAGAGTCAAAATATGCATTCATTCTCATTTCATTTTATTAGCAAACTCTAGTTCACTTGTAAAACAGGCACAACTGTTCAGAATACCTACCCCCCCCCCCAAAAAAGTGACAATCCTGGAAAGACAAATGACACTAATTTAGCCAAACACAAGTATATTGGGTACAAATTAAATTCATGTCAGGAAGCTGCACATAAGCATTGTGCTTTCATGTAAAGAGCTTTATGTGAGGAGTATATCTCACTGGCACTGAGATAAGAGGGGGCGCAGGGCTTCAGAGCTTCTTTTTCAGTGGCATGGAGCTGTTGGCTAAAAGAGTTGTGATAATTGAATGCTCAGCCACCTCAGTCAAGCATGATCCATGCACACAGAGAGGCTTTGGCATACCGATCCCCTCCCTGGCTCAAGATAAACATAATATAACAAACAATCTCTGTGTGATGTGGTCTTTCCAGCTGCATGCCCACATCCGACCATTGGGACTGTGGTGCCTGTTCAGGGTGGATTTGATTTAAATCACTAGTCAGTAAGACTAGATGGACTAGGTTTTCTATATAATTTGCATCAATGCATGCCTCACCCGTAAGTAGAAGATCTTCATTAAAATATACCCAAATTGGGTCTCTTACGACCTGCTGCCATTATAGCTTTTCTCTTCCAGGTAAAGCGTAAGATGATAAACCTAAGGCTATACACAAAAAGATCTGAAGACTTGTGAAGTATTCTGCTCAAAAGATTCCACTTTGATTTTTACTGCTTGCCCCTCGCTCCTCACACCTTGCCTCTTGGACAGACCTATTCCACTCACAACAATCTTCTTCTATTCTTTGGGGTTTTTTTTTTTGAAACTTAGCACTTAGGAGGTTAAGTGGTTGATTCTGTGTTCATTGATTTGCAAAGGAACAATGGGATCAAGGCCTTTTTTTCAATTCTGTATATTTGTTTATAACATATTTTGCTGTGAAGAAGAGGCATGTGATCTCTGCAGACACAAATTCAAAGTTTTGAGAACTGTAAAACCAAGTATTTGTGATAATATCTCTTACATAGAAAAAAAAAGGTCCAATAATCTTGCAGAAACCTCTGGAAAAGCATGACATTGTGAATGGATTAATGGAATCAATTTACCAAAACAATTAAAGATTGCATAAATATACAGCCTCATACTACATAATTAAAAATGAATCCTTATTTCATGATGAACTTGGACTATAATGTATCTTAATAGAAAACTATATTTAGATAAACTTTTCTTCAAAAAGCATTTTATTTTAAAAATCCAGTTTAAGTAAAAAATCTGATTTAAAACTTCATTTTTATTTAAAAATGCATTGATTTTTATCTCTGCTACTGCATTATACACCAGATGTGCAATGATGAACATGAAAGTGAACACAGAGAGGATGCAGCAATGTATCCAGATGTGCCTACCATATTCAAGGCCTCTACCAGCATGGTGTGGTGGCACACATTCCCACTTAACCTCTTACTATGTTTCAAACTCAAATTGCTTATAACTTCATCTTAATGGCAAATGCACATTAGCCTTCCATCTATTGTGCAGAGGTAACTTGTTTTGTTTTCTGTTTATTATTTGCTTCTTTAGAGCGCAAAGTTATGGCTTCCCCACATTTTCTGAGTGCTCATAGGATCATTTGGAATCTCAGTTGCAATGCCCTGCAGCCTCATGCAGGGGCTCCAAAGGCTGAGTTCTTGCCCCACCTCCCTTGCCCCATGGAAAAAGCTGCCTCAGCTGCTTTTCCAGAGTCTTAAATCAGTCTCGGAGAAGAGGAAAAGGGGTATGCTGGGCAAATGAGGACAGGAAAGGGAGCAGCTAAGGCCAAATGTTTGTGGTGTATCTAAAAGGCATCCCACTGTCCTTCCCTCCATCTGTCTAGATTAAATGCAGGGTGTGAAGGTGTGGCAAAGATCACCCTTAGATTTTTGTCTTTTCAGCTGAGAAGCTTCCCTTAGTGAGTAATAAGACTTCTAAAACCACAGCCACAATAATTACAATAAACATTAAGGAAAATATTTTAGAAAGCAATATACGTTAGCAACAAAAAGGTAAAATAGTTGGTTAACATACATGACAGTCAGTTATTTGAAGGGCACGGGCAAAGAAGTCAAGAAGCCTTGCACTAAAAGACATCATATTCAGTGCCAGGTGAGCTTTCTTTGGGAGAGAGTTCTCACTTCCAGGTGTGCCACAACCAAGAAGGGGCTGCCTGTCCTCTCCTTCTGCTACATTTCCATTGCAAAGGAGCCCTGTTTTCCAAGCACTCAACGGTTAACATTTTGTGCCTCCAAAAACACATTGTTCCTTTTATGTTATATTTATTTATTTATTATTACATTTATATACCACCCAGGTGGCAAATGCCATTGGGGCCATTTACAAAGACCCACCTGATAAAATAACCAACTCAGTATATACAACAATGAAAATATCTCTCTAACAAAACACCAAAGATTAAGACACAATCCTATGCATCTTTAGACAGAAAAGAAGTCCTACAATTCTCATCATGCCCCAGGCAGGATTTAGGCTTTTTATAGACTTAAGATGCATAAGCTTGTGCCCTAAGGAAATTAAAAATATTAAAAACAGCAGTAAAGTTAATATTCAGAGCCACAAATTCAAGATGAAAGTCAGGTCTCTAAAGGTGTTCAATAAACTTAAGGGTCTCGTTGTCTACAGCATGGCTGCATAGATACGTATCATGAGGCTGGTATACGAGGTTGTTGCAAAGTGTTAGAACTTACAACTAGCAGAAAATACAATAGCTTGCCTATTTTGAGGGACTTGTATGGTGTATAAATTACCTTCCAGCCATAATTCATACTGCTGGTTTTAACTATTAAAGCCTTCAGTGGACAAGGTCCCACATTATCCATTGTCTACCTTTCCACATAGGAGCTCCCAGCTTATAGGGATAATCAGGCATGGTCGTGCTTTGAGGGCTAACTCCCTGTGATGTTATATCAACAAGACAGGAGCAAGGACTTTTCAGTTGTGGCTCCAAATCCCCCTTCATTGAGAAGGCCATCATTCCTGGGCAGTACTGAACTTTAAGAAACTGAAATATTTTTCCTGTGAACAGTTTTTTCAACTCTGTTAGGAGCTGAACATTGCCTAGTTTTAATGATTCTGACAATTGCTGAAAATCCCTTTAGTGCATAATCCTGTACTCAAGAAGCACTGAATAAGGGACTCTGTCATATAGTAGAAGCTCCATTTCACCAGCAGAAAACAAGATAGGATGTTCCCATGGAAGGTGTGCTGACAGAACATCTCAGTTCTACCAGTGCAGCACTCAGTGGAGGAGATAAAACAGGGTGGAACTGTGGGTAAGATGGGGGCAAATCTGGGGGCAAAAATGACTGTGCCGAAAGAGCTAAACCTCTCCAACCTTTGCTTAGTAGTCTTGATCCACTATGGCTGCCACATGCTTGCTTACTTAATGCCTAGGCAGAGCACTCTACATTAGGAGTCTGGCAATGAACCGAAATAATTGTTAAACATACACTGCTTTTAACATTTAGCACATACAGTACAACTTTATATTTATGCAGAAGTCCTACTGTGTTTGATGTGATTTACTCCCAGGTAATTGCGCATAGGGTTGCTCAACTTTACAGTCAATTTAACATTTCACAGTTACTTTGAGAAGAGGAAGTCTATAAGGATTGAAGTCTTGTGAATATTTTGGTATGATGGGAGGCATGATTGCTTCATTTATCTAGAAATATTATCCTAGCCAAATCAGATTCAGGATGATTTATGGAACAACACAGATTTAAAAATACCAACAAGAAAAGAATGGATAAAACTTCAAAACAGAACAAAGGCTATCCTGCTAGGCTCCAGCAGAAAGATATACCAAATTATTCCCAAGACAATATGTGTATGTTTCTGTGTATATGTGGAACATGCACAGGTTAATTGTGGGGTGCAAGTGGGTGGAAGAGAATATTTTAGCTTGGAAAGTGCTCCAAGCAGGAATGTGTCTTCTTGTGTTTTGTAAAGGGCTGTGCACACTGATGGTGTTCAATATATAATACAGAACAAAAGATAATTCTATATTTTCTCCTGAAACGTGTGTGTGTGGCCAACGTTTGACAGGGAACAATAGGCGCTTGCCTTCCATTAAAGAGGGGAAGGCAAACGCGTATGTCAGTAAGCAAATGAAGCGACCCAGACAATTATTTGGAACCATTTCTATAGAAGAACAATAGTTTCTTAGGTTTTATTGCCCTTTTCAAACATGCAGCGGCAAAAAATTTTGTTAAACTTTTCTTCTGAAAAGTAGCCTTCCTTTTAATCCTAATCGCAATATGCATTTCGATTTCATGAAACAGCATCTCATCACCGATTTCACGGAGTTCGTTCGTTTCAAAAGCCTCACAGCTCTTCCACGGCCCCCTCCAGATGGCTCGAGCTTGCAACATTCCGTGCACGCGCCTCCAGGTGCGCTCCCAGTTTTCCGCCTAAGTCCAGAGGCTCTCTGCAGGGCGCTCGGATCCGGATCCGTGCCCGCATGCAAGCCGCGCGCACGCTAAGGAAGGATCGGGACCGAAGCGGCGCCGCCGGCCCAGCCGCCCGCCCCTTCTAAGCGGAGGCGGAGCCGCCGGCAGGGGGCGGTGCCACGCCGCGGCCCGCCCCCTCCCGCCCGGCTCGTGGAGCGCAGCCCCATGTGCGCGAGCCCCGGGCCCGCTGACACGTGACGCGCTCACTTTCCCTTGCGAGTTTGACAGGAGTTCCGACGGGGCTTTTCCCCCCGCAGCTCCGTGGAGGAGGGAGCCGCCGCCGCCGGCTTGCCTCGCCTGGACCAGCCCGCCTCCGCCCACGCGCCGGAGAAGCGAGGAAGGCGCGCTCCCCCGGACCGCGGACGCGGCGAGAGCGACCGGCGCCCCACCGAGCATGTCGGAGCCCAGCGCCCAGACGGCGGCGGCGCGGGGAGACAAGGAGTCCCGCAACCCGGTGGTAGGACCGCTTTCGCTTCTGGCTTCTCCTCCTCGCTCCCCGACCCCCTCGCCTTGTGGTGCCTCCCTCCGGCCCCGCTCGCCAGCCGCCCAGACTTTCTTTTGCCTTTCCTTCCTGCTGACCTGACCTCTCCCCTGTCCTTGTTTCTCCCCCTCCCTCCGTTTTGCTTTCCTTGCCAGGCCCAGCTGCTTTTGGGGCTGCGTTGGGGCCGCCTGGAGGAGCCCCTGGGATTCATTAAGGTGCTGGAGTGGGTAAGTTCGCCGTCCCGGGCCGCCTTTTGCAGGCGCGCTCTCTTTCAGAATCGGCGGGGCTGGGCTGCGGCACGGCGATCCCGCCCAGCAACGCGCACGGATGCTGCTCTGGAAGTTGCGGGAGCCACATGGGGTTTGCGGGTTGATTGGGCTGACTCTCTGGCCGTGGCCCCCGAGCACCGTGGAGGAGGCAGGCAGTGCCCGCTCAGGCAGCCCTTCTATGTACAAGGAGTCTAGGGTTTGGGGCTGGGGTATGTACGGCGCTGGCGTTAGCAGCGCTCACATTTCACTCCGGCGGGCTTAACCTTTCTGGAGCTCTGATCCTGCACATACCGCGCCTTAACTTGTCTCTGAGCTCACGAATTCTCTCTCTACTCCGGCTTCCCGAGGGGAGATTAGAAACCCTGGACGTATTTAGTCCCCGGCAAGTGTGGAGAGGCTCCAGTGCTAAGCTTTCTCTGTATTGCCCATGGGGATGTGCCTACAAGTAGTTGGCTGCTGTGAAAATCCCCATTGGAGAAAAAATTCTGCCCATCGGAAAAGTTAGGAAAGCAATTTTGATGGCAAGGAGGAGAAAATAATGAGCTACATTAGACGTGAATGCACCCTATTCTTCTTAAAAGGAAGCAAGCCCACATCTTCACTTCTGAAAAAAGGCGCTGGGAGCTGTACTGTGATGTTAATCCTGTTGCACTGTGGTAAAGTGTTGTACCAGCACTGACACTGCCTTTTGCTGATGTCTGCAAGATGTGACAGTTCTTTAGAGAGGAAGAAACTCTTTCAAAAGCAGATGGTATCTCTCAGGGGATATGCATTTAGAGACTTAGATTTGTGCAGCTGCACAAAGCAAACCCCGTACTTCAAAACTTTGGAAGAATGAAGAGACTTGAAGTATGTATGTAAAGAACACAGCTGAGATGACATCCATTTCACAGGGCTGTGCAGCAGGCTTCAGTGGGTTTAGGCTTCTGTGTGAACACATTACTAATGTTGGGCACCGTAAGATAATGCAAGTAGGCCACTTAACTGTACATGCTGCATTGCTTTAAGACACTAATCTGCAGACAGATGCATCAAGGCCTACTAGCATTTCATGAGGACTGTGTGAATGGATTGGCCAGTTAAAGCCAAGGGTCACAGGAACAATGAATGCATCATAAAAACGGCAAGTTAACTACACAATGTATTGGCCTTCTGTGAATCATTGCTAGATTGTTCATGCCATCTCAGACAGGAAATATTTCTGTCTTAGTTATTCAGTTTTACCACCAGACTGTTGGCATATATAGCTGTTTCACTTCCGATAAACCACACTTCATATTTTACATTCTGTTCCGTTGCCATCTAGAAACGTTTCAGATCATTTTAGATTTTAGCCTAGGTTCCTCTTGGTGATACAATGGTTGCATAAATCACCCCTAAGATTTTCACTGGGGGAATAGGCCAACGTTTCTGTGTTTGCCAAACAGAAAGCAACTTCCACTGCTGACCTTTTAGTAAAATGTACAGAAAACATTAACCCCATAGGCTCTGGGTCTTGACCTATGTTTTGAAATCTTTTAATATAAATTCCGGTAGAATCAATGAGAATGTTTGATTCTAGCAAGAATAACTACTGAAGGGGCATGATTTAAAAAGTAGTTTCCATTGTCCTGTGCCATGTTCAGATCTCTTTTTGCATGTTTACTTATCATGAGCATTGTGAAACATTTGTTGTGGTGCATGGCTACTCCAAGCCATCTGTGTAGTGACGGGAAAATTATGATGGTATGTTGCTCTAACACAGCATTTCCTTTCCGGTGTAAAAGCTTGCGTGTACTGGCATTTTGTGGTCCCCTGCTCACAATTCTACAGATTTGTCTCTAAGGGTGTACAGTTCAAGTGTATATTGTATCAGGCATGTATTGAGACTGATGCTCCTCAGCTTTTTGAAAGATCAGGTAGTGATGCTTGAACTTTTAGCTTGTTGAGTGTTTTCCAGCCTTCAAAGATAGTGAATACTTTGACAGCGATGGTACTATCATTAGCAGACTGCCTAAAGCCTAGCCAGGATTCCATAGTTCATGAGAGAGGAGTCAGGTGACTTGACTGGCTAATGATAATGCCATAGGAAGAGCCTTATGGCTTGATGGTCTGATCATTTTTTCTAGCAGTGTAGAATGGCAGACTGCTGGTGTTGTAAATATAGCTGGACATCCTGCACCAGATGAGGGCCTCTGGTTAGTTAGGGCATAGGAATGAGTGAGACCTCCTCTATGTAAGAGGAGTCTTCTCTTCTGCAGGGCTGTCTTAACAGCATTATGGGCCCCAGGCAAAGCAGTATACTGGGGCCTCTACAACAACTACAACTACTGTTAATTTTGGAAATTTTCCAAGGGTTAACATGCACAGATTAGTATGGGGCCCACGGGCAAGTGCCCATCAGGCCCATGTATTAAGACGGCCCTGCTTTTCTGGGTTCTTTTTGGGATTAAGACTGGTTCCTTTCTTTCTCTCTGTCTGCCTCATTCTCTCTCACACACACATGCACACTTTTCTGGGGGAGGGCGGGTTTCTTCCACCTTGCTATATGTTCTATAACACAACCACAAGTGGTGTGATATAGTAGTATTACAATAAATATATGAACTTTTTCGTAGCTCCATTTCTAAATTAAAAACACAGAAAGCAGAAATTGTTGCAAAGTGCAGGAGAGGCCCTGGAGGAGGATGGTATCATTTGAAGCACCCACAAACAGTGAGAAATCACAAGTGTGTAATAAATGCCTTGTATAGAAACCTCTCCGTAAAAAGAAGTCATGATTTTGCAGAGTGGATTAATTGTTTATGTTATCATCTTGTAGTAATAATGATAACATAAACAATTACTTTCATTTTGATTGTAGTAAGATTAGCTGTGGCCATAACCCCTACTTTATTTATATGCATTATCCATGTAGTTTTTGTTTCTTTTTTCTGCACTTTTATTTGGACTGCCAGTTCCAACATTTTTTAGCTATAATGTTGCAAGCAGTTACTTGTGCTAAAGCTTCTTCCCTTGCCTACCTTTCCAATCTAATTGTTATAAGAACTGTATCCAGTGGCATATTCTATTAGAACCTCTGATTCTAATAGGTTAGCTATGAGTGGACCCGTTGTTTTGTGCTATCCAAGTGTCAAAGCAGCACTGAAATAGCAAAGGTAGAGCTAGTCCCTGGTCCAGAGCTGGCTCTTTCTGTTGTCCCTTCGTCTGATATACTGCTGAAAGCAGCTTAGGGGGCCTGTTTAGTCCTACATAGCTGCTCTGTCAGTATGTGGTTATACTGAAGTTGAACCTAATGCTGATCTCTGTTAGTCTGGCAAACCTCTTATTTATTTATTACTGATTTACTGTATTTCTGTACCACCCAATAGGCAAAGTTACCTTATTTTGTGTTTGTGGTTATTGTGGTAGCTAGAAAAACTCTCTGGATACTGCTTGTAGGGGGCTTTTGGTGCCTGAGATGCCTGCTGTAAAGGTGCCTTGTGTGAATCAGAACAGGCCATTTTAAGGTTGCCTCATTCTCTAATGTATTAATTGCTTTTTTGTTCAGCCCTTTCTTGTTTTTCTTAAATTGTGCAAAGTCAGGTAATCCAAAGTGTATGCAGTAATGATGAAACAAAGTTTAGTGAGTCTAGATTGAAGTTCATCTGTGTTTATTTACCTATCATTCCTGAGTCCCTGCACTTCTTGTTGGGTTTGGCTGATTGCAGAGTTCTTGGTCAGATCATGTGCTGAAGTGGAATAACCTTTAGAGAGATGGAGAGTTTTGGACATTTGATTTGGGATTAATTCAATGCAGCTTTGGGGTACTTGTACTAAGGCTAAAAACGATTTTAATCTGTGGACAACTGAACTTTGCCCTATGCTTTGATGTAAGTTGGCCTCTTTCAGTTGTCTTTCCAATGGATCAAAGAACTGAATGAATTCTTGAGTTTCAACAGTTCTTTATTCTATATAAAAGTCCCAGCATTGCCTCATTTGTTGCAGAGGGGAAGAATCTCCAGAGTGCCCTTTTATTTGATGCATTTTCTCTCATAGTTGAGAGGTGGTCCTGAGGTTACCCCTGATAATGGAAAAATAATTGGCATTCATTTTTCAAACTCAGGAAAATTAAGTGGCAAGCCGTTTTTTAAGACAACAACAAAAGGTTTCGTTGCGGGTGTTTTATTCAGAATAAAATAGTGGGACCTGGAAAAGGCACTTGGCATGTGATTTTCTATTTATTTATTTAATCTGCCGGATTTGTGCATCACTATTATGGCTTGCATGCAAAATGACCTTATTAATGCATTGCTGAGCCTTTATGATTCCTGGTTAAATCTGGTGATTGTGCATAATTTCTGAGGCTGTAGTTCTTATCAGTTGGTGAAGCCAGCTAATAGTCTTGCATGGAGTGTCTATACCACCATTTGCTACCAACTGGAACACATTTAGTTCTAAACTCCTTTGCTTTTTTCTCCAGCTGTTTGCCATTTTTGCCTTTGGAGCCTGTGGTTCTTTCAGTGCAGAAACAGGGGCTACTGTGAAATGTACTGCAGACCCTGGTGAGACGACTGCTATCATTGTGCAGTTTGGATATCCTTACAGGTAAATGGGAATCTTGCTGAGTGCTAACTTAGGCAGTACCTGGACATTTAGCTGGACATTTGGCTCAGTGTTCCCACAACTGGATGCCCTTCAGGTGTTTTTGAGAATAACTCCCAGCATTCCTAACCATTGGCCGTGCTGGCTCAGAATGATGGGAATTGCATTTCCAAGCTTATGGAGGACACCAGGTTGGTGAAAGCTGATATAACCAATATCTTTTAATTTAGTAAAAAAAGGCAACAGTTCTGTTTCTAACATTTGAGTGTGCTTCTGTTTGGCAATCTTATTTAAAATATATTTAAATGAAACTTTTTCGGTGCTGTGTGCTATTTTCTTAGAGCGCTCTTTACTGTACATTGTTTTTCAAGACATTCCTATAATACTGACCCAAAGTATTTAACTCTTGACTCAAAATATACTTGATTTAGGGATGGAACAACTATATCGCATACTGGAGTGAGTGGCTGCTGGAATCTTCCTTGTACTGGCTGAGATCCAGGGAACTCCTTAGGCATGTCAGAGGGCTCAGACATGCTTAGTAGGATTTCTCACTGAAATAGCAAACACATATACACGCAAACATAGCTTCAAGAACTTTTAGTTTCAGAAATGGTTGCCATGCAGTAGGAAGATATGCTGATCAAGATCAAAGTCTCTTGGGTTCATGGAGCAGTTATTGGGTTTTGTGGATTCCTCCACTACCTTCTAGCACAAAGAAGTTTAGGAAAATTGTCACAGAGGAATATAGTTCAGCTAAGAGGCAGGCTCTTTTTTGCTGTAATATGAGCTATCAGCCATTGTTCAGAAGCTAGAAAAAAAGAAAACTGACAACTGGTGAAGCAGTCATTTGATAAATATGTACAAAAGATGGTAGATGTAGCGCATATCAGTTCCTTGTAACTTAAAAGGAGGAGTGTCTTTTAAAATGAAACATTTAGGATGACCTGACAAAGGAGCTGTTTGCATTTCAGACACTATTAAGGTGAAACCCTGTGCAAGTTCAGATTGAAAAAAGGCCTACAAGTCCTGTCATAGCTGGCTGTGAGATGCGAGGAATTGTTGGCCTTTCTCTCATCTAAACTTGCTTAGGAGTGCATCCTTAGCTCTGTAAGCATCACTGGCTGAACAGATACTATCTTCCAGAGGTACAGTGGAACCTAAAGGCCACAAGGAAATGTAGGGAAGAAGTCCGTCTCTCAGAGCAGGGGTGGGCAGATAGTGACCCTCCAGATGTTTTGGCCTACAGTTCACATCACTCAATACCATTGGCTATGTTAGCTAGAGCTGCTGGGAATTTTAGGCCAAAACATCTGGAGGGCCACAAATTGTCCGCCTGTCTTAGATCAATAAGTTTCAGCTGCCATCTGTGGTAAATATTTAAACTCCTGTTGCTATAGATTTGTACATATTTAGTTCCCTTTCCTGAATTTATGATTTTGACAAAGTCTGTACTCAACCACATTGGCAGTTTAGATAAATGTTTCAAATACAAGGCATGAAGAAGAGAACCAGTAGGAGAAAATTCTTTTCACATTGTGTGGGATGACTTACACGTAGGGAATGCACTGACATGTAGTTCTTATGATCTGTAGATCATATTAGCCAACACTAATCCACATGGTTTAATTTCAGAGCAATATGTTTGTACAAATATGTTCTCCTATTTAAGCTTTTCTTGATTTCCCATTGGGAAGATCTCTTCTGTTTTTGTCACCTGGCAAACATCTTTCCCCTCCAACAAGACACTGAAAACTCCCAGGGAGTCCCTCTGCCAAGGGCAGTGTGGCAACATATACCAGTGGCTGGGAAACTTGGGCACGAGGTTGCTGTGGCATTTATCTCCTGTTTGAGGGATGCTGTGGGCAGCTGGTTGGGTATTGTGCGAACCGAATGCTGGACTTCATGGCCCCTTGGTCGGATCCAGCATGGCTCCTCTTATGTTCTTAAATGACACTTGGAATGGCATTCACTTCATTTACAGCGTCAAGGCAAGGCAAGGCAAGATAATAGTTAATAATATATAATATAGTAGTTAATAATATGTAATATAGTTAATAAGCTGTTAGGAACAGAGCTTTGTAAAGGCACTTCCACTAGAGAATTTAGCAAATGCTTAGTAGTAATTCAGTGCTTGCTTTTGTCTATTATATCTTTTTAAAATTAGCCCAACAGCCAGTGTTCTCTTGCTGGATTACAAACAGGTGAAGAATTAAACTGCCATTGTGGCAACTAAAGATATAGAAATATCGAAAACAATAACGTACAGTACAATGCCAAACAACAAGCTGTACAAGTATCTAAGAAAAGGCCTAGATCTAGAACTAGGTCCCTGTACTGATTACCGCTACTCAAAATAGCAGACCAAGAGAGAGGAGCCATGTGTCCTCTGGAAGGATCTGAAGCAGTGAATTATAGCACAGCCCCCTTGCAGTGCTGGTCATTTCCTTTCCTCCTCCCCACACCAGTGCCAAACTGTGCATGGGGCCCACAGGGCAGCTGTGAATTCTGAAGGCACTCTGGCTTGCTTTGGGAGGAAGGAGAATGTCCTTCGTTGCAGACTTAAAAGCAGCGCCTGACCCGTCACATCTGTCATCGGTTAAGAGACCCAGAAACAGATCAAATACGTTAGAAAAGGGTGTTTTGTTTTGGTTTTTTGCTGCACCCTTTTTGCCTCTCTTCAAGTCTTAGTGATCAGTGCACTGGAGACAAATGTTTGCAGCTTTCAGCACACGTTACTGCCAAAAATAAGAGGCTGCACTAGATTGTGGGTGGCATTCCTAGGTCCTTGATGGCATGCCAGATTAGGAGACGATTACCGTTACTGGAGAGCAAAATATCAACAGAAGTCAAGGCATGGTACACTGGCGACTTGTTGGATGTGTACAAATGAGACCAAAGTAGGAATGAAATCAATCTTATGTTCAGTGTATGAAAGATGTGAACATGGTTATATCTTTGTGCATCTTTGCCTCCCTGCCAACATCTGATAGCTATAAATAGAGGCATATCTGTGAAGCCGATTGAAATGCCTTTGACGAGAAGGAGAACAAATTGGGAAGGGTGGCTGTGGCGCTGGCAGTGGCAGCCTGAAACAAAATATCTGGTGCATATTCTTTTGAAATAATGAATTCTTGCATATGAGTTCAGAAGCTTTTTAGACAGAGGAGGTCTTTGCTCCTGTCCTTTGACACACTTGTGCTATTTGGCATCAATAATAGGTTCATCAAATCACAGCAGCCTGCAACCTTTTAGTTGTGAGGTTATTGACCTTTTCCCTCCTGGTCATATTTTCCTTGCAGGGAACACTGTGTAGTTTGATGGTGCTAACTAAATTATGGTCAGGACAAGTCCTTAGATTCCTGCTTTAAACAGTAGCCTGTGAGCTCAGAATTTAACTTTTCCGAAAATTAACTTTTCAACATACAGTTAATTAAAAGATAATGTAGGAACACAAATGGAAACATGCCCTGTTGAAGTCACATATTGTGTTTACATTTTTCAGTTGAAGTTTGGCCATCCTTTTAGTTTTCAGCTGATTTCTGTGGACTCAGGTTTATTAAAAACAGTAGTATAGTCTCAGATAACTGGCAGAGGATTTGATCTGGTATACTTCTGAAATTTAGCTTTATAGTTCTTGATTACAACGCGAGGAAAACCTTCTCCTTCAAGCAGGTAAATGCTCAGTTTTATATTGGAAGTGAGACTCAACTGCAGAATGTCTGGTTTTGATACCAAGCTGGTTCAAATGGTGCTAGTGGGAAGAGGCTGAAAGCTATTTATATGTAGAGAACTGTTGGTGTTATACAGCATGATAGCAGCTAGGTGGAGAGCTGTGATAGCTCTTTGTGACTAAAATTATATCCATGCAGCTATTATTTCTTCAATTTCTGTCATTCACTTGATATGTCTGGACTCTTTGCAGAGGGATTCATGCAGTATGTTATACTTTTATAGAGCCCTAATCTATAGGGCAAGCTAATCTTTTCTATAATTTGAATGCTGCATTTCTGTGCAACATCACAGTAATTGCTCTGGGGAGCTTGCAGTGTAAGGTGAAAAACTGATCCTACAAAACGTTAGCTGTTTCAGCAGAATTAGTGGCCTTATTTGCACAGGATTTGTGTGTGAGAGGCATGGTGGCGCATAGAACCTGTTTGCTCCTCCTCGTGTGAGTGGCTAAACTAACTAGAGAACAAAAGCTTACCAAGATGTTCCAGCTGGAGTTCTTGGTTTCTTGTATCCTTTACAAGACAGGATTGTAAACCAAAGTTTGTTCATAGTGCATGAATCTTCAGTTGTTGAGGAGCAACACACAAGAATCTGGGTTTGGACATTAGGATTCACCAGACAGGTGAATCTGTGCAAACACTGTAGCCAAGATAGCTGTCTCTGTAATAAACTATCTAAGATCCTTGTTCTTGATAGCAAGTTGGGCAGTAAGTATTCTTTAAAAACCTAGCCTGCCTGTATAGAAAACTGGAGTATGCACTAGGAAAAGAGGGGCTTGTTTTTAGGAGGCTTCTTATTTTAGGGGAAAATGTTCTACAAATATTTCTTTGGTGCAAGAAATATTAGGTTGGTGCAAGTAATATTGGCACCAAAGAGGGATGCACATTCAGAGTAGTTCTGCTGTGAAAGACGGATGGATGGGGAAGGCTCAGTCTTTCCCCTGCCCTTGAAACAGACATATTGTGGAGACACAAGCTGCTCTCTCCAGAGCAAAAAGCGAAGTCTAGAGCCCGATGGTGGATCAGGGTGGGTTTTTCAGGGAATGGGAGGCGGGGTGGAAAGGGGAACTGTGTATGTTCATCTAACTATCAACTTTAATCAAACTGTTTTTGAAACCTGCAAAACCTGTTTGGCCTGAGGTTGGAGGTGGCGCAAAAGAAGCGTGTCTTCATGGGAGTCCATGGGACAATAAATAATATGTGACACTGCCAGTCCACATGCAGCTGGCACACCACTAGCACAAGTGGCCCCTAGTGGTGCACCATTCACACAAGCTGGTGTGACGCGCTTTCTACGGAAACCTGTCATACCCTTTGATACTCTTGGCGTATTGCTAAAGGAGAGCTGCACTAGTGGTACATTAATAGCATAAATGGGCCAGCAGTGTTGGATACTGCCCAATGCCGTTCTTAAATCACTTTCAGCTAGGTTAAAATCCTGTTATCTTTCTTTATCCAGATTTCTGTTTGTCAGAGGTGTCTCCCCGTTTCAGATATTTTAAGTATATTGAACAGTTTGTTTCCCTCTCCTTTTGACCTTGACCAGGTTGTACAAGGTTCCATTTGATATGCCAGACTGTATTGAAGGATCTACTAATAAACGGACACTGCATCTCATGGGAGACTTTTCAGCACCTGCTGAGTTCTTTGTGACTCTGGGTGTTTTTTCTTTCCTGTACACCATGGCAGCTCTTGCAGTGTATCTACGATTTCACTCCCTCTACAAAGAGAATAAGAGGCTACCCTTTGCAGTAAGTTCTCAGTTTGCTCTTTGAGGTTTATGCCCCAAGTCAAAAAAATCGTGTCTAAGGCTGCAGCCCCATGCAAACTTGCCGTGGCATAAGCACAAATGAAAGCAATTATTTGTAAACCTGTGTATTTTGTTTATTTTGTTTATTTCTTTTCTATACAGCCCAGTATCTGAAGCTGTCCGGGCAGTGTGCAACAGTTCATAAAGCAATATAATAAAATGCCATAAAATATTTTCAAAATGTAACAATTTTAAAGCAAAATAAAAAAGCTAAAACATATAACATTTATTTATTTTATTTATTTAGGGGACTTCTATGCCACCCCATTTGCCGAAGCCTCGGGGCGGCTCACAAACAATAAATAAATAGAATTCAATAAAACAATATAAATTAACGATATAAATTAAGTTGCCCTGGCCAAAGAATAAAATGAATAAATAATATTAACAATTAAAATAACATTTGAATAAAAAGGTCTTCGCCTGGCACCAAAAAACAAATAACGATGGCGCCAGGCGGACCTCTCTGGGGAGCACATTCCGTAGATTGGGCGCCACTGCAGAGAAAGCCCTCCTCCGAGTACTTACCCTCCTAATTTCCTTCACGGAGGGTTCCCGGAGAAGGGCCTCTTCCACTGATCTCAAGGGGCGGGCGGGCATATATGGACGTAAGCGCTCCTTCAGGTAACCAGGACCCAAGCTGTTTAGGGCTTTATAAGTCATCACCAACACCTTGAATTGGGCCCGGACTTCAATGGGAAGCCAGTGAAGCTGACGGAGGACTGGAGTCATGTGAACATAACGTCCAGTCCCCGTCAGCAGCCTGGCAGCTCTATTTTGAACCAATTGAAGTATCTGGACCGTCTTCAAGGGTAGCCCCACGTAGAACGCGTTACAGAAGTCAAGTCGGGAAGTCACCAACTCGTGTGTCACTGTCGCCAGGTAGTCGTTCTCCAGGTAGGGGCGCAGCTGATGGATCAGCTGAAGCTGAAAGAAAGCGCTCCTCGCCACCACTGTCACCTGAGCTTCCAGTGAAAGCTCTGGGTCGAGGAGCACTCCCAAGCTGTGGACCTTGTCCCTAAGAGGGAGTGCAACCCCATTCAGGACTAGGTTCAATTCACCCTCTCCGAAGCCCGATCCGCCAACCGACAGGACCTCTGTCTTGTCTGGATTTAGCTTCAGTTTATTGGCCCTCATCCAGCCCATTACCTCGGCCAGGCGTTCAGCACAGCCACTGCCTCACCTGGATTGGTGGAGAACGAGAGGTAGAGCTGGGTATCATCTGTGTACTGATGATTCCTCAGCCCACACCTCCTGATGACCTCTCCCAGCGGTTTCATGTAAACGTTAAACAGCAAAGGGGACAAAATGGATCCCTGCGGTACTCCATGGCATAGCTGCCATGGCGCAGAGCCATAGTCCCCCAGCACCACCTTCTGGAATCGGCCATTGAGATAGGAGCGGAACCACTGCAAAGCAGTGCCTCCGACCCCCAGTCCCACTAGCCTATCCAGAAGGATACCATGGTTGATGGTATCAAAAGCCACTGAGAGGTCCAGAAGAACCAACAGGGGTGCACTCCCCCTGTCCTCCTCCCTGCACAGGTCATCGTACAGGGCAACCAAGGCAGATTCAGTACCGTACCCGGGTCTGAAGCCAGACTGAAATGGGTCCAGATAATCAGTTTCATCCAAGAGTGCTTTTGAGATTACTGGCAATTCTTAATTCAAATAGAAGTACTGTCCTTTACTCTTTATATTCTGTTTGCTCTTGGGGCCCCTTCACATCAAGGGCTGACTTTCACAACCAAATCATGTGTTGAGTGGATCTGGGCTGTATCCAATATACGAATCTTGTCCTTGGAGCCCTAGGACATGGCAAGTTGTACTTGCTGACATTCCTGCTTTTACTAAAGTACTAAATCTGTAGGCCCCTCATCTAGGCTGCCATCTCTGGGCCCCATTATAAGGAAGAGCTCTGAAGGCAAAAGCTAACTGCAAACTATCTAAATGTAGAGCTAAAATGTAGAGCCATTCTTTTCTTTTGAGAGACACGTATGGCCACTTGAATTGCACTGGCTCCATATCACTTGTATATCTTTCCAAAGCATATTGGATCACTGTTGAAACTTGGACAGGGATATTTTGGAACACAAGTAACTATGGAAAGAGCTCAGGAGACAAGACGAAGGGATAGCCCAGCATACAGCAAAACCTGCTGGTTTAGATAGAACAGAGAGAATAGTTGTGCTCTGAGATGGCACGGTTGTGGTCTTTTTTGATATGTGTTTTTAATCATTTAATGAAGATGAATAGCAACACTTGTACAACCAATAGTATAGCATCAAATCCAATAGCTACTCTTTAAAAATAACAAATAACCCAACCTATTCAATTGGAATGAATTATTTCAAAATACAGAAAAATGAAAGTCACCTTATTGACTAACAATTCTAATTTCTTCTATATACCAAATCAGTCCATTTATCCATACCACTACTTCCAAATTTAGAGTGCAATCTTGTGGTGGCTGGAGAGGCTAGATGGCCATAGGATTTTTGCTTTGGAGAGCCAGGTACAAGCGCTCCACCCTCCTAGCTGGAAAAGTTCTCCGACTTCATAGCTGGTCTACACTCAGGGCATCCTCCCCACAGCTTCAGCCTGGTGCAGAAAGAACCGCACAGGTTGATGGGGTTCAGGAGGCATTCTGGGGGGCAGACAGGGGAGGAGACAGGCACTGCCAGGCTGCAAAGTGTCCTGGTAGTACCTCAGCCTTCTTTCTTTGGCATATATAGGATGCCTGTAATTTTCTAAGCTCATAGAGTTATGAGCATCCGGATTTTCTTCTACTTGGAATGTTGACTAGTTTTGAGTATTCAGCCAAAAGAATCTTGGCTGCAGTTAATATATCGAAAATTGAATAAGAAAAATCTGATTTATAGTAGGTACATCTATTATATGATTAAACAAGCTAACTAATGGATCCACCCTAAGTCTCACCACTGTTACTTGCCCAATCATATTTAAAGTATGAATCCAAAAGGTTCTTAAAGCAGGGAACACCCATAATATATGAGCCAAAATGGCATCTTAACTGAGCCCCAAATCTCTAGAATTATTAGTCCTGGAAATTCTATTACTTTTTTGCATTTATATACCACCACTAATAAATAATTTTGGTTAAGCTTCTTTAAATTCAGTATACACTGAGAATAGTTTAATGAGATCAAATGCCTTTTGTCAAACCCTTTTGTCAGCCATACGTCCTAAATCTATGCGTGGCTTCTAAATGTTCTTAACTGTCTGAAGAGACCTTTGCAGTTCTTCTTTGAGACCTGATCCTTTCTGTTTCTCTTCCCTGCAGGACTTCTGTGTGACTGTCTCATTTACCTTTTTCTGGCTAGTGGCATTTTCGGCTTGGGGCAAGGGCCTATCGGATGTGAAAGGAGCCACACGGCCTTCCAGCCTCATTGCGGCCATGTCAGTGTGTCAGCTCAAGAAGGCTGTGTGCAACGCTGGGGCCACCCCTTCCATGGGCCTGGCTAACATCTCTGTGGTAAGCATGGCCTGGGGTGCAAAACTATGTAGGTTTGGGGAGAAGTTGGGGGGGCTTTGGCTGGGTCAAATTTGGGCCAAAGCCACCCAGTCTAGTGATGACCAGGATCCAGATTTTCTGATTCCCAGTGCAAATAAATATTTGGTTTGGTTGTTTTTTTAACATTTATAGGCCACCTGGGGCAGCAAACAAAAATTTAAATACAACATTACATAATGTAACATTATTTTAAAAACTTTTCAGTTGGAAAAAAAAACTCTTTTGAAATTAAAAAAACAGAAAAATAGTACATTTCAAAATATAACACAGCCAGTATTTTTTTTAAAGCTGCAGGTAGTTTTTAAAAGGGCTTTTTAAATGCCAAGTCAGAAGGGACTGAAATATACCCGTAAGGAGAGGCTTTGATATATTAGGACCCACCACTAAGAACCCAGCATTCTTATTGTTCCAAATTGTGCTGCTCTGTTTTTTAAGTTCTTTGGGTTGAGGTGTCTTGACTTTTTATATTCTGCACTGCCTTGGCAATCTTTGATGAAAAGGAAGTACTGGAATGCTTTTAGTAGGTCCTAAAAGGTGGGACAGCAGGCAGGCCCTCCATGGTTAATTCCAAGGCACGAAAGGCACGAAATGTTCTTAGGGACATAAGGCAATTCTTCAGACAATCTGGGCCCAAACTCTGTAGAGCTCATGTTCTGGTTAATATAGTGTTGTGGGTTTAAACTGTAGACCAGGAAGCATAGCAGTTCCCCTAATAAAGCTTTCTCTCACCCACTGCCCTCCAGACATGTTGGATCTCAAATCCCAGCATTTCTAGCCAGCACTGAGTTGGGAAGGTTGCCCTAAAAGTGTAATACTACCTATTTGGAGATGATGTAACTACATACTTGAGCAGCTGGTGAGCAGCAGCTGGATAACAGGCAAACAGGGTATTTTTAAGGCCCGTTATTTTGCCTTATATTCAACCTCAGTTCAGCCCTTGTAGTCCGAAATATAGGTGATCACAGCCACTGTGCATACACATATGTTCAAACTGGAAGAAATTTGCCGTGTTGCTATTCTGGTGATACAGAGACAATGTGAACAAAAGGAGAACAACATTGGGCCTTTAGGAGGATCTTGACTGGTCTTGCGTGAGCTTGACTGCTGAGAGTTCTTGGCTCTAAGTACTTTAATAACTACCTCTCTCTCTCTCTCTCTCTGTCTCTCTCTCTGTCTCTCTCTCCCCCCTTTCTCAGCTGTTTGGTTTTGTCAACTTTATACTGTGGGCTGGAAACTGCTGGTTTGTTTTTAAAGAGACCCCTTGGCATGAACAGACCACCAACAAGGAAAGCTCTGTTGAACAAGGAACTGTTGATAAGCAATAAAGAACCTTCCCCCTCACTCCAGAAGCCTCCTTTTCCCCCTCCAGGAACAGGCAGTGCCTTGTGTTGACAGCGTGCTCATCCCATTCACAGCAGGGCAGGAAATGTGCCTTCTCTGCCATCTTTGCTGCTGTCCAGCCGTCACGGTTGCTTCCCTTTGTGACTGTTATGGGATGCCTTCCTCCAGCTGAAATCACAGGTCCTCTTGTAGTCCTAGATATACAGACTACATGGTTACAACACAACTTTTCTTCATTTCAATTATTTCAAAATACACGTGTATGTTGTTCTAAAGTGTAACTTCGGTCACCAGTCTTAGGATGTGCGGCATTGTTTCTTCACAGCAGCTTTTCACCAGTTTACAAAGGGAAAAAAAAGCAGGCAGCATTGGATAGGAGCAGAGAGAGAATTTGGGCATTAGTGCCACAGAACCTGGAGTGTCTAGGTTCCTTTTAAAGTAAGTGCACTTTCTACTCTGCAGTCATAATTAAAGGAGAAACAGCAAAATACCAGCTGGCTTAGAAAAATAGAGGAGAGAAATTAAGGGAATATTTTTACTTTTGATAAATCAGCCGGAAGGAAGGAAGGAAGGAAGGAAGGAAGGAAGGAAGGAAGGAAGGAAGGACGGAAGGAAAGGTGTCACATCATGGAGTAAGAACATACTAAACATCTCTCTCTCTCTCTCTTTCTCTTTCTGGCTGTCTCCCCTTATCTCAATTGGATGAAACCTTATGATGCTGTTTGCCATCAGGTTGCTAGTTCATCTTCACATGGTGAAGATCTGATGGTCCTTCTCTTTTGTTTCTGGTAGATGTGCACAGTGTCTATGCCAAGATACCAGTGCTGACTCCTGCCAGTGTGAGCTGTTTAGCAGCTGATGACCCTTTCTTCCCTACACTGTGTCTTATACAGAGAGCAGAGGAAAACCCTTCATTGCATAGAAGTAGAGTCAGTGAAGTATTTTTGTCACTCCTTAGAGGAAAACCTTAGACACCTGTTTCATATTTTCCTGAGCTTTTATTTTACTTTTAAATAAAACATTATGAGTGGACTTCCTTGAGAAATTATGCTGAGCTTCTAGGATGGTTGTAGCCCCAGAGGCCTAGAGTGTTCATTGCCAGGTTGAAAAATGTGTAGAGGTAGGATGGGGTTCCACCGAATGTGCCATGTGGTTGAGAATCTTTGTTGCTAGTGACCTTGAAACTAGCTCTTGAACTACTGCTAATAGAAACTGCTGATCCCTGAACTTCGTGGTGTGCATCGTTTGTCACTGAACTTACAAGCCACTGTCTTCTAGCAGCACCTCCTCAAACTCCACTGTGGCTGTAGAACGTTATAGATCATTTGATGGAGGTGTGAGACAACATGGGAATTTTTAAGGAAGTTTCTAGGATCCCTAGATGTCTCTCCAGCAGATGATGGGACCACCAGAAAATAAGGTGGGGAAAATAATGACTTTGTCTATTTTCTCTGCATCTCCTTAACCATAGAAACAATTTGCTTAGTACATAGTGAAGGAAGTAATTCAGGAGAAGGGCACTAACTTTCACTTTTTTTCCTTCTACCAGTCACACTGTTGATAGAAGCAAGGGATTGAATCGTGACTGTGAGTTTTCTCTGAACTCTTGTCACCCAGTTTCTGAATCCTACAGAGAAGAAGCTCCACCAAATCCCTAAATCCCATGCTTCCATATTAGAGGGGCAAAATTTGTCCTTACTTTTCTTAGAGGGGGAAAATAGCTTTCCAGGAAGTGGGTGTGCAAGTTCTTTCTCTGCTTTATTAAACCTTTCACATCAGACCTTGTCTGGTCTTGTTCTATTTCTTATTTCCTCCTCCTCCTTTTCTTGCTGACAGAGAGGAAAAATCTCTTACAGAAGGAGAAATGTAATGGTGCTTAATTAGGGATGGGACCTCTGTGTTAAGCAGATCCCTTTTGTACTTTTGTAGCTTGGTCTCTTTTGCCCTAAGTTTTGATTCCTGCCTTTATGGCAGCCTGTAACATCTCTGCAGTGAAACTGCAAAGGCTGAAAGCATGGAGTGACTCTTGTGTTGGTGTAGTGTCCACGTATCCTGCAACATAAGGGAAAGAGGAAACAAAAAAGAGAACTCCCTAGTTAATAGGCAAGATGTTTCCCTCAAACTTCCAGACTATCCTTAAGAATTATCTTTTCTGCTAATTTAAAAAACAGTGGGTTTTTTTCTTTTTCCTTCTGCAAAACTGTGGAAGCGGCACCTTGCCTTATAATGTGTTGCATGGCTGCTTGTTACAGGGATTCTTACAATGATTCTCTGAGGCACTTGAATTCAGTCCTCCATGACACTCCTCTTTAAATATGTGAACCTTTCATCCAACCTTGCATACATGCCTGTTTTCTGTATCTTCTGTATGCTGACTTCAAGATTTGACCAAGGTCCTCAGCTAATTCAGATCAATGTTGCAGTTGAATGCTGCCACTTCATACCAGCTGAGGGTCTGCCCTTTCCGCATGAGCCACAGGCTGCTTCAGGAATGTTGCTTCAAACATCAGAAGTGTTCTGTGCAAATAGAAGCAGGCATAGACTGCTGCAGGATCGTTGTTGCTCAGTTGGCCAGAACAGTGCATGAAAAAGGAAATGGTAAGTGCATACCATTGATCGTGATTCTGCAAGTCGTTTTCCACATGGCCCAAATTCTTGCAAATGTGCTTGTCTCTGTATTTATTTGCATAAAGAGAGAGAATTGGCCTAGTAGCATTACATTTGGCATTCCCCCTGTACACAGCACCTGAACAAGTAACAGGTGCAGGATGTTCTACACCCATGCGGGTTCTCCTCCTCTTTGGATGTACTCATTGTGTTGAAACCACAGTCATCCTGTATGACTAACCTGCAGACTTCAAGCTGCTTATTAGGCATGATGCAACCTTCCAATGTAATAGAGCCCTACAGGCAGACTTCAAGCAGAGGAAGGGGACAAGCAGAATCTCTACCAGAAAGAACGGGGAGGGCCAACCTCGACTTGTGCTAACGTTGTATTTTGTGGCCTATTTTTTGTTTGTTTATTTTGATCGGGGTGAGAGGAGGGTCTAGGCCTGGCATTTATACAAGTGTTCAATTGTGTGGTTAGTGATATGTAAAGAGAATATACCCAGAAAATTCACCTGCTCTGTCCTTAAAGAGAGCCACAATTTCCACGGAAAGAGGAGCAGAAACCAACAGCCTGCTACTGAATGCCACTGGGGTCTGTCACCGCTGTCCTATCTCAGCCATTCACTTTCTAGTGACAGTATGTTGCATGCTTTCCCTCCCTCCCGGTGATTGTTATTGTGGCTCTAATAAAGTGTCTCGAGAGTTGCTCGAGGGATTGCTGGCTCTGGGCAGGTTTTCTTTGCACTTGCCCACTGTTTCTGTTCCACTTTGATCTCTGTCTAGCCCAGGTTAAAAGATGCTGTTACCTTGTCAAGGATTGTATTGCTATGAGAGCTATCCTCAGCCTGGCGTCAGCTGAACATGGATAGTGTCTTCAAGCCCTTTATCCCCTGTGGGCATAGTATACACTGAACTATCACAGCCATACTCACGTGAGACTGGCGTCCAGATGATTCCTGATTTTGTAAGGCTGTGTACAAATGGGCAATAACAAGTTTCACCAAAGACTTGCAAGTGAAAATGTAGACCTGCCATTGCCTGTGGTATGAACAGTGACTGTATATGTGCAATCATGGTCCTTAGTCAAGCTTGTTTAGCAAGTTGTTACAGTACTTTGAATTAGAAAATGAAGGGGCGGACAAGTGAGATATGCTCAGAAGCCTGACCAATATTGCTGTAATAGATTTGTGTGACTGGCAGGGATGCTTACTGAATACTGCCCATTTTTTTTAAAGTGGGGAGACAAAGCCAAGATCAGCTGAGTGAGGAATTTCAACCGAGAGCTTCACATTCTGCAGAACATGGAACAAAATTAAACTGAATTTTAAAAAAGTAAAACACAAAAAATATGCTGATTTGATTAAAAATAGGCTTAGCCCCATTTATTCATGTGCCACACCTCTCTCCCACGGAATATAGAATAGGAAAGAGAGAAATCGTAGGTACTATCAATTCATCTTCAACTGACAGTGACCCCTATGAATGAAAGCCCTCCAAAATGTTCTGTCCATGACGTTCCTGTTGAGCTGTTTTAAACTCAAGGCTATGGTCAAGTTTCAGAGCTACAGGTGAATGAAACATCTGTCCAGAGAAGTTGGCTTGTGTCCAGGCAAGAAATTTTCAGGAGCCTCAATAACTTTACAGGTGCTAGCGCGGATGCCAAATTCTTCCAGTTGTGGCATAAATGTGATAGATTCAGAACTGCTACATACTACTGCTTTTTCCCATTTGCTTTTTGGAGAAATCCGGACATTTTCCCTGTTGAGGCTAATTCTGTTCTGGTAATGCCAAGAGCTTCAAGGGGAGTCACTGCTGAATCGTGAGGACACAAAAGCTCTCTGACGTACAGACTAGAGACACATTCCGACTGTATTGTTAGCCCCGCTCTGCTCCCATTTGGAGGTAGAACCAAGGTGGTGATCTTTCTGGTGATCATGTCACAGTCCATGCAATTGCATTTGCAGCTTAGCTGGGCATTAAGCCCAGGTTTCCACACTCAGATCCCCACATTCAGTTTTAATCAATTATACTGCTTCAGAGCAGCATTGCTATTTGAAAGGAGGGCACATAACTGGAAGTGTACTCACAAAAGGCAACTGATAATACATGCAAATTGTCTAATCATTTAATTTAAGATCCATATACAAACAGACAATGGGAACAGGATGAACCCTATCAAGTGAATGAAAAATCCAAATGTAAACAATCATTGCAGCAATAATTCACACATCAAACAATACCAAATTCAGTCTTGGAAATGGCTTGGTCCAATAAGAACTGCACAGTATATCTCAACTCTCGTATCCATAAGCAGTGACTGTATGCCTGTACACATTCATAATTTTCAGTGTAGAGGCATGAAGGATCATCCATTTCTTCCCTTAAAGAAAATAATGTTGCTCTCCTGAGGTTTTTAGAATATCAAAATTTTCAGTCTAAAGTATAAGAGAACTGCATGAACTAGGAGAGCTTGTTTATATTTTGATTTTTTATTGATGTGATAGAGTAATATAGTTTCAGTTGTATACTTGCATATGGACATCATATTGAAGAGTTGATTAAATTGTGCATTATCGCCATATCAATCTTTTGTCAGTACACTACTGTGTTTTGGGGGAGGGGAACTGTATCTGGTTTTTTTGGAGTATTTACATATAACTTGCCCCATAACAATTTACCTGGGATATAAGCATCTGCTATAAACAATATTGCAACTGAGCATTTTGTTTGGTGTGATAAATTTAAAAAATAGTCTTTACAGTAAATCCTTTAGATTGAAAGAGGCCTATAATTCCCAGCGGGGACATGCTGGGCTTTTTTCTGTCTAAACATGCATAGGATTGGACCTGTACAGAAAGTCTTGGTAACAGTATGTCTGGGAGTTCCTACCACATCCAGAAGCACCTAAAAAGAAGGACAGGCTTTTCAGTGTGCTGCATAATAGGATTCTGTAAGGGGCATGATAGTATTTAGAGAGATGGTATCAGGCTCTGGTTATACAGCTGCCAGCATCCAAGGGACAACATGCTTTCCCTTCATTTAATACCATTGAAGATATCCTAATCCTTGCGTTAAAGAATATGTTGACATGTCCTTATTGATCCAGAATATTCAGAGCACCCTTATTCTTGTGGCAGACTGACGTAAGAAAATCTAGCACTGGCGAGGAACTCCTACATGCTAACCTTCTTGAGTTGATCCTCATTGTGAATGATCCTGTTTCTGTTTCCAATTCTCTTCTGTTACTATTTTTAGTAGATTTATAACTTACCATGATTTCATACTGTCCTTCCTAAAGAGGGAGAAGAACAAAGGAAAAAGGAAGTTGGTAGCATTACCATCTTTTGTTCTACATGAAGTATGATTTTCTGACATCCTGTGAGCCGATACCTGTTTCTCTTCCTGCCTCTGTTAACCTGGGTCAAAACATTGCCAAATGCAATGTATCTCAACAGTTAGAACCGGTTCTTTTAAGGCTGCTGAGTGCAGCAGAGGAGCATACCTCTGCATTTTTCCTAATTGGTTTAAAACTGGTTTCATGAGCTTATGTGTCATCAGTAATAAGTGAGTGAGTCAATGGTGCCTTTGTATTGGAAAAAGCAGATTAAAATGACAGTATCAGGAAATCAGAAAGGGAAACAGGTGTGCAAAGGCAAGTGATTTCTACTTGTTTTTGTGTACTTGAGCAACTTCACTACATCAGGTAATGCAGAGATGGGGAACCTGTAGTCCTCCTGTTTTTGTTGGACTGTGGCTCCCATGAGCCCTCGTCAGCACACTGAGTGGTGAGGGATGATGGGACTTGTAGTCCAAATGCATTGCAAGATCAGATGCATTTCCCTACCTGCAGGGTAGTAGGTATGGATAATTTTGTAACCAAGATATTTAAACTTCCCAAACTCTTTATAGAACAAATTAGGGCCAGTGAGAGTGGCAGAAGGCATCCTGTAGAAGCATACCCCAATTAAAATAGTATCCTTTCATAAAGGAAGAGGCTTCTATATTTTTGGTGTATAACAAACCATGAATCCATCTCCTGCTAATTATGAGAAGGGTGCTATTCAATCAGACCCAGGAGCCATTCAGTCCAGCAGCCAACTCCCTCCAGTTGCAGCCTTCACCTGGGCCTGACGGCAATACCTCTCTCTGGCTGATGCTCAGTAGCCTCTGAACAAGGATGTTCCATCTAGCTATACAATATGACAGCCTTGCCCAACCTGTGATCCTCCAGATGCATTGAACTGCAGTTGCTGAAAGAGTGAGCATCATCCACATACCTAAGAATCCAAAGGCTTCAGGCAACTCAGAACAAAAACATCTTTAAGGCAAAACAAACTAGGGAGGAAGGAAGATTCTCCACACACACAGTCCAGTAGGATTGAGTATGCCTAGTGTCCACAGAAGACTTGAATAATTGGTGGTTATTCAAGAACAGAATCCCAGGGTGGGGACGGAGCATCACTGGCTGGAACCTGGAACAGCACTTAGTACTGCAGCGTTTTATCTCAGGCCATAAGTAATTGCTGTTGGCAGGTATCTCCATGAATTGGTTTAATCCCTGCTTGAAGTGACCTACACCAGTAGCCATCCCATCCTGTGACAGCAAATTCCATGCGTGGTTTTTGCATTGTGTGAAAAAGAACCTTCTTTTGTTTGTCTTGAATCTACTGCCAAATTAATTGGATGACCCTGAGTTCTGGTATGAGTGGAAGAGAAAAGTTTCTCTATTACATTTTCTTCACACCTTGAATAATTGTATAAAGCTCTATTATGCCACTTATAGAACAATCTGAAGCATGGGCAGGGAGAAGCAGAGCAGCAGAGCCTCTTTTGCATTTCTTCCAAGCCCTGCTGGATCGTGTTTGTGGAGCAGCAGATCCAAAGCCACAGTGTGCCATTTAGACATGACAGATTCTTTTTGTCAGAGCTTCCTGCTGGTGGAAGTGGGAACAGGACCATCAATGCTAAATCCCAACCCCCTCTGCCATTTTTAAAAGTTTAGGATCGCACTGGAAGCCAGCTTCTTTTTCTCAAACGCTTTAGCATTTCCTAATAGGGAAGGTTTATTTATATCAAACGCCACAACTTAGAATGAAAATAGAATGCAAAGCTTTACCTTTCCATATCTGCTGACTTGTGAAGTAGTGGGAAGCTCTGCCGAGCATCTTCTCTAGTAAAGGGGGAGAGACAAAGGGAAGGAGAAAGTGTGTGCATTGGGGAGGGTCCTTTTGGAGTAGAAAAGTGTGAAGGGACCCCCCTGGATGTTAAGGATCTTTTCTATCTGTTATGTAGATCTGGGTTTTTTTAAAATCACTTTTCTCATAATTTAGTAATCAAAAACCAAACAAGTTCTTCTGAGATGGTTCATCAGGAGTTAGAAAGTGGATCTTCATTATGAAGCCCCAAATTATTTTTGCTTTCTGACTTCGCAGTTTAAGTGTCAGTGGGGTGAATACATATAGGGTGTTGGATGTAATTGCCTACTGTGCAGATTTGTTTAGGAACAATTTTCCACTGAAAGGTAGTTGGTTTACAGCTTCAGTACATTCTCCAGCAGGGTGCAAAACTTCACTTCTGTGGTCCAAATCTAATGCACCTGGGGCCCCATGCCAGTTCTACCAGGAGGTGTCATCGCTTCCCTCTTTCCCTTGACTAGCAGCACTGGGATGGATTTCCAGCTTTTGTGTTCCTTCCCCACTTTAAAAGGCTGAAATGCTTCTCCCAAGGCTTAGTTACTGGCAGTAAGAGCTTTAAGCTGAAATATGCCATTTTTGGTGTTTGTGGCCTGCCTTCTCTTCCCTTGCGCCCAAGAGCATTCCTGAAATTGAATTTGACTCTCAGGCTGAAAGAGCTTCAACTCTCCTTTCCTAAGGCAACTAAGTTAGTCTTCCCTCCCATTGCTCTTTCAGAGGCCTATTTGCAAGGTCAGCATAGTTGCCACATCTATAGATAAGTGAAGGATGACATCTGTACTGACCAGTGTCATCTTTTGAACTTCCTGGAGTAGCAGAGAACTACATATTCTTAATAGGAGAAGATGGGAAGAACTCAGAATAGCTCCTTGGGTGAATAGACCCACCAACCAAGCCTTCTACATAATGTAGTTCAGGTATTTCACAATTTTGAAGACTATTAGTGATTCGTTATCTTCTCAACAGCAAAAAATGTCATAGAGGAGGTGCATGTTTTATTATTATAAGTCTCTCTTGACATGGGCACTGAAGGGGGTACAACAGGATGTGTTTGAGAGAGGAAGGTTTCTCTGAGCAGAGGTAGAAACAAACCCGATTATTAAACTCCACTTCAGCATGCTACGGGGAGTGACATCTTGAAGGAGAAATATTGCCGTTCGGAGACTTTAGCAACAGCTCTTACAAGGGAGAAAATATTCATTAGGAAAAGAGCAAAGTGATGGATGAATTCATTGTGCAAGCTGGACGGGAGGATGCTGGCTGGCACGCAAGATATTGATCTACACATGGAGGAGGGGGTCTATGGAGCAGTAGAAAAGCTTTCAGGGATGCAGAAGGCTCCCTGGCTTGCAATTCTTCCCGAACCCGAGGGAGCCTTCTGTCACCATGGCAGAAGATCCAGACCAGCCATGCTGGCCCGGTGCTCTCAGGAGGAGAATGCCTGGGCTGTTCCCCTGCAGGGCTTTGTCCTCCGGCCACAGGGTGTGGAAGAACAGCAGTTTCAGCACTCACATTCCTTGCTTGGCAGACACTCAGGCTGCAATCCCCCATAATTGATGCTGAAGTAAGCTTCATAGAAATGCATGAGACAGACTTCGACGGAAATGTACTTGGGCTTGGGGTTTTAGCAAGTGCCTTGATCTGGCATCATTACTGCTTCTCTAGCCATGCCATCCTCCACCTCATGGCAACATGTGCTCCTGTTAAGCTCTATCTTGCCATGCACAGTGACTTTTATACTAGCATTCACTGTGTGGCATTGGCAGCAGCACAGCACATTCCTGGCATGGGATGTGTGCATTATATGCGACACACACACACACATCCTGATCACACACAATGCATGCTGCAGACTTCCTCATTCGTTTGCCATGAATGCACAGGTTTGAATCATTGGAGAATTCCGGGAATAAGGGGAATCAGTCATTTTCTAGCTTCCATCATCACCAACCTTCTACACTCCAGCCTATGTCCTTTTGTGCAGTGGAGGGGAGTAAATTGTGGAGACTATTGAACAGTGGAAATGATTAGCATTCCCAGCACTGCAAGCCTAGTCATGGTCTCTGGTGTGGAGAAGCAGAACCTTTCACCTCCTCTCACCCCAGAGCAGACAATATTACTGCTCCCATGCCATTTCTGATGGCTCAGAAGTAGCGATGCCAGGAAGCAGGTTAGCCTTCACCATGCTCCCATTCCTTTGTACATGTGTGTGCATACATGCACATGACCTTCAACTCATTTCTTGGCATCGCATGTGGCCCTTTGTGCTGGAAAGGTTCCCTGCTCCTGCTTTCAGAGAATCATAGAATAGTAGAGTTGGAAAAGACCAAGAAGGCCATCGGATCCCACCCCGTTGTTGCAGGATACCAAGTTACATCATCCCATTCAGAGGATGGTCCAGTTTCTTTTTGAATGTCTTGAGAGTGGGAAAGCCGACTTCTCTAGGCGACTGTTTCCACTGTCATATTACTCTGGCAGTGAAAAAACTTTTCCTGATATTTAGCCTGAACCTGGTTTGTTCCAACTTGAGCTGATTATCCTATGTCCTACGGTCTGGTATGAGCAAGAAGAGATCTTGTCCTCCCTCTTTGTGACAGCCTTTCTGCTACTTACAAAGTGATACCATGTCCCCCCTCAGTCTTTTCAAGGCTAGACATACCAACTTCTCTCAGTGTCTCCTCATAGGGCAATATTTCCACACTCTGGATCATTCTTGTTGCCCTTCTCTGGACCCTTTCTAGTTTTTCTGCATCTTTCTTAAATCTCGGTGTTCAGAATTGGATACAGTATTCTAGATGAGGTATTACTAGTGTATAGGGGAACTAGTTTTTTCATGATTTGGAAGTGATACTTCTGTTAATGCATCCCAAAATAGCATTTGCCCTTTTAGCAGCTGCATCACATTGTTGACTCATATTTAGCCCGCTGTCCACAATAACACCAACATCTTTTTCAGTTCTGTAGAGCCACATATTCCCATCTTGTATCGATCCGTTTGGTTTCTTTTTCTTAGAATGGAATGGAAACTCTTGAGTTTGGCAGTAACATACTTCTGACTACCAGTTGCTATGGGTGGGAATGGAGTGGGTAGGGGCGACCGTTGCCTGCACACGTAGATACACGGTTGGCTAGCCACCGTGGGCAACAATGGCTAGACGACATGGACCGTCCCTCAGGCTGGTCTGTCAGGCTTCCGTATGTCATGTATCTTGTGAAGGGGGGGGGGGGCTTCAGCGCACGCGCAGAAAGGACATTCACTCAACCAGTTTTTCTCCGGCCGAAGCGGCGAAAGGCGACCGCGAGGGAAATAGAAAGAACTAGGTTCGAACATGGCACTCTCGCGCCCATCGCTTCTCTTCGGCATGCGCAGAGCGAAGGCGCCCTGGGCCCCCGAACTACATTTCCCGTGGTGCACCAGGCGCGGAGCGCCTGCGCCAAGAGGCTGCCGCCAGCAGGGAGGGCTGCGCGTTCCCGTGCGGTGATGGCGGTGCGTGGACGCGCGGCGGCGGTAGCAGCAGTAGCAATGGCTGCTGTGGATCGGCGGCTGCCGAGTCTCGACGACTTCGCGGGGCAGAGCTGGAGTGCCTGGGTGGAGAGGGCTGGGCCGCCCACTGCCGAGACAGGTGAGCGCGGCTGCCTCACTCGTTAAGCCGGAGGCGGCGGGGGGAAGCAGGGGACGCTCCGTCGCCGTTTCTTCTGCCGCCGCCGCCGCCGCGCTTCCTCCTCCACCCCTCCCTCACCCCTCCCGCCCCAAACAAAGGAGCCGCCGGGTCCTAGCGTCGCCGAGTTTCCTGCCTGATAGACTCTTCCTGCTGCTAAGCCAGGTTTCCTTATGATCTCCGGAGTCCTCTGATTGGATGCCCTCTTTCCAGCCTGATCTGACCTGCACCCAGATCGGGATCTTTGCCCCCTGTAGATTCTATGCATATTCCAGTCCCTGTGTGGTAACTCCGCCCTGCGTTGATCCCTTACCTCGTGAGCACCGTTAATTAAGCCAAATTCACGGGATCCCAATGACTTTTGATATCTTCTATATTTGACTATGCACTGTTATCTCTGGAAGGTGCTATACAAATGCTGCATTATCATCATCATCACCATCATTCCTAACGTCTGTTTCTTGACCTCACGTGATTCTTGGGTCCATGTTGTCTGCCTCCATTTCACCTGAGTGTTCTTTCTTTCTTGCCCCTGTGTGTTGACTTTTGCATTTTTTTTCCTGCAATAATGCACCCAGGAATCCATATTTTTTGAGATGCCATGGTGACACTTGTAGATCACAAGCCTACTTGATCTTTTGTAATTTTCTGAGTATCTTGAAACTCCTGAGCCATTTTGATCTTCTAGATGGCTTTTGAGCACTTTGCTTTGCTTTTCCTCAAATTCTTGTATTTGCCCATTAAACTCTAGGCACCTACATTCTCTCATTGGTCTTAATCTTTTAAAGGCTAGCAGTTTTTCCCCAACTAATTCTTTTAGAACACTCCATATTTTCTCTTCCCCCTCATTGGTGATGTACAAATTCCTCTTTTTCAAGTTGTTGCATTCTATCCATATCTTTGCCTAGCCGGTGAAACTGGTCCCTGCTCATCCATTTGCCTTGTGTACCTTGCTCTTTCTCCTCTGTCATATACACCAAGCTCCTTTTGCATGGTTGGCTTGGCCACTAATTTTCACACGCGTCAGAATTGCCTTTCCCCCCTACCCTTACATACTGATTCTCTTTGCTTCTTTCCCCCTGTGCTGTTTTGTCCCTTGCTCAGTTTGCCCTCCTTTACTAAGAGGGAGTTGTATATGCATTCATAAAGTGAGTGTAAGTATTTGCTCCTTGTGATGTTTGTCCTTGGAATCCCAGAAATCATTCAGGAGCACCTCCCTAGAATGTTTGACTTTCTCAAGTGCAGCCTGACAGCAGACTCCAGAAGGGGCGGTGAGACTCCATGGAGCTGTCCCTGGTGATGCTTTTTATATTGTTGAGCTTCTCCCTTCCCCCTCCATTATCTTCCCCTCGCACTTGATACAGTTAGTGCTTCTTATGTTTCCTGATCCACTTGCAGCTCCAGCAGAGTTTGCATAATGACTCCTGTGTTTTCAGGGATTTAGGTTGTAAATTTTCCCTGCAAATAGCTTCTTATTGCAGTCTAAATGGGCCGTTTTACCTATTTGTTGCTTGTAGATGTGAAATCCATAGCTGTCCCTGACGGGTTGCTATGTAGGATTATTGTGTGCCTGTGCATGTATGTTTAATCCTGCTAGGTTTTTGAAATTAACGATTCTATCAATACATTAAAAATGAATAAATGACTTTAGATTGCTGCCTTGTGTCTTCACACTGAAACAGTTGATGCATTGTAACAGGTACATCTTGTCTTTGTGAGGGCACCATGTGGTGTGAAATCTATTAGATGTAAGCAGAGTGTCATGTCATGCTTAAAGCAGGAGAGTCAGGACTTTGGGAACCAGCTCCACTACTCATGCTGTTAATTTTTAGTTAAATGAGCCCCTCGTGCCTCATTTCCTCCCTTTGTAGCATTTGACCTGCTTTGCCAGGAGTCTGAGGGCATTTCATGAGTATATGGGTGGTGCAAGGAAATGCCCAGGTAGAAGAAGCCTGAGAAAGATTAGTTCAGGTGTTTTATTTCTTGTATGCATTAGGTTAAGAGCTGCATTATTCTAAGCCACTGCTTACACACACATGCAGTGCAATAAGAAAAGGGTCCTGCTGTAATGAAACGCTTATAAATATTAACATGTTTCCAGGGCAAGCTATTCTGGTTGAGATCCTGACACGGGTGATAATTCACCATGAACAAGGGTTTAATTCCAGGAGCTGATATCCAGTGGTTTCTATTTAACTTGGAATTTAGGGATTCCATTTTGAAGTCCATCTTGGGGCATGTATATTTGAAGCTTTGTGTTTAGAACTGACAGAGTGGAGGCACTCATGTAAAAGGTACATAGAACGGAGAGTGAGGGAGCTGCCTCATCCCCCATCAAGCAAGTATACTCTCTGGTTCATGCAGATGTACATGTGTTTGCAAAATTCTGTTGGGTTAAGATTATTTGAATTCTGCCCTTGTAATGCCAAAAAAGAATTTTGAAGTAGTTGCTCAACAGGCAATGAGACAGAGAGCCACGTTTCCATCCTATGGCCATGTCTCTGTAATTTGCAAAGAAGTCTGTGGATGGTGCTGTGGAAGCCTGTCATTGTCTTCCAAACACCCCTTGATTGATACGGATTGGCAGAGCGATTCTGCTGAAGCAGCAGGCGGTGAGTCTGAGATTCAGCAAGTCCACTACTGTGTGTTTGCAGAAGCTCTGGAACATCTGCCATATTAACGGAGCTGATTCTTGGGGATCCTTGTTCTCTTGGTAACTTCCATAGCAGCTCCAGTGCTAGGGAAATTATTATAGCTAATTGACTCCCTGCTCTTCCAAGAAAGCTCAGTGGGTGACCTTGGACAAGTCACGCTCTTAGCCTAGCCCTTTTCATAGGGTTGTTGTGAGGATAAAAAGAGGATCACCTGCACCTACACTCCCTCCTAAGTGCATTTGCAGGAAGGGTAGGGCACAGAAGTAATCATTTTCATTCAGAGGTCAGTTTTAGGCATGCTGCATGTATCGTGTTGGGTAGTGGGGATTTGCAGGAAAAGCATCTCTTGAGCTGCAGATTTACTGTGTTTGTTGCCCTCTCTGCTGTGACATGAGGATAGATCTTTTCAGTGCTGGTTTGCAATGTATGCTGCATGATACTGTGTGGCAAGTTTGGGGAAGAAGTGATAAGTGTATGGGATTCAAACATCTTCTTCTTGTAAGCTCCTTTGAAGGGCAGGCTAAGGCACTTTAGGCTGCAGCCCTAGCCAGGCTTACGCCTTAGAGAATCTCATAGTGCACTCAGTGTGCAGTACTTCTAAGTAATCACGCTTGGGCATCGTGCAGTAGAAGGTGTGGGCAGGAGGAACGGATTCATCTTAATGTGTCAGGATGCCAGGGCTTCTCATTGACTTTGGATGATGCATTATTAGAGTTGCTGATAGGAACCATTTTTTATCTACTAGGATCTGAGCTGGAAGAAAGCAGTAGGAATGGGAGCAAGAAGCTGGATGCAATGACTCTGATTAAAGAAGGTAAGAACAGACCGGGCCATCCGGTTTGATCTGTGTTGTAGACCCCCTTGCTCTGAACTGACTGCTCTGTGTTTGTGGGTGCCTGCAGAAGGTGAGGCACAAGGGCAGCTGGGAGTATTGTGTCTGTCTGTCTGTCTGTCTGGGGTGCCAGTTGTTGCATTCTCACACAGCAGGCAGATTCCTCATTTCTACCAAAAAGAAGACCACTGTTTCTTTTGCCACTGCGACAAAATGGTGAGATGTCCACAGTGGTGCAGAATGACAGCTGTAGTGCAATCTGCTTCTTTAGGATGGTTAGCCACCCTTTTCCATGCCCTGCCATTGGTTCAGAGGGATAGGGCTGGAATGAATAGAACAGATGTGGGGGCAGACTCTCAGTGGCCTGATAGTGGCTACACAGTGGCTGATAGCAGTGGCAGAAGTTTCTCTTTGGCCGTTGGAGTCTCCCCTTTCATGGGCATGATGGTTCGTGTACTATCCTGTTTGAAAGTGCTAAGAGCTGTGCTCACTCAGAGCCTTGCCCATTTTTGGGGAGCAGTGAAAGACGCTCCCATAGTGAATTAAATTTGCCATGCTTCACGTTGAATAAATGGTATTTCCTTCAACACACAAATGGGCTTCATCATGCATCCTGACATGATTTTCTGTAGCTTTTTCTCAGTCCAGACACAAGATTTGAGCAGAGAATTTGGATAACCAAAATCTGTACAGTTTGCATGCATGTGCCTTCTTTGCTTCGAAAAGCTACTTGTTATTTTCTGTCTCCACAATTTCTAATAACTTGATGTCGGAAGGGTCCAAGCCAAAATGCCACTGGCCTTCCGTCACATCCTGCCCAAAGACCATCAGTGCATAGCTACCTTCTGGGTCACCCAGTGTGTCTCCAGTGGGGAAGCAGAGTGAAGCAGCCTTACACAGCTCTAGTTCCAGATGACTCACACAAATAAATCAAGCTGCAGGGGAGCACCCAAACATGTTGTGTCTATTCTGTACAGGAGGAATTCTTTCCTGACTTCAAATATGCCACTGGCAAAATGTCTTCACCGAGTCATCCCAAGGAAGTGCTGTCAGCTCCAAGATGAAATTGTCTTAGGCTGTGTATGCCTGTACTTTTAGTCCAGTGCTTGCCAGATGGCCTGGACTGCAACTTGCATCATTCCCAGCAACTTGCCATGATGGGAACTGTGGTGCAACTCACCTGAAGGGCACCAGGTGGGGAAGACTGCTGAATTCACACTCCCCTCTCTAATCTTTCTTGGTATTTAAGGGTTAGGAAAATTTGCCATAGTCACCATGTGATCATATTCACTCACAAGACCAGAAGGTTTTCCCTTGTTCCTTGTGTGGGTGTTCTTATGCAAGTCCTATGCTGTTGCAGATGGAAGTCCTTGTTCGTTGTGTGGGGGTCAGTGTATTTCCTAAATCACATTAGTAGCTCTATAAAATCTTCAAGTGGTCCCTTGTGCTTCCCTAGCAGAGCTTTTGCAAGTGTGAGGGACCATCTGTCCTTAGGTGGAGTTTTCAGATAAGTTTCTGCTGTCCTTTCCCCTTGCTTTTGTGCTTGCTTCTAACTGCTCAGGCCTTCAGACAGTGGAACCCCTTCCCCCGCCCCCCAACTCCTTGGTAGCTCTTTTCTCCTCCTACCCTGCAGCCTTGGGTCTTTTCATTGCTTCCAGCCTGTCTGTGTCTCTTTGTTTTTCTTTTCTGCCACCCCAGCTGTGCTAGGAGGTGGGGCTGCCTTCTGCCAAAGTTAGAAAGCTTAGGACAGCATGTGACAGCCTGGAGGATAAGTGATTGTTCTGGTATCCTGTTTGTTTATTAAAATGTTCCTCCATTTCTTGGGCCTGGCAGAAACATGGCTGTCTCTGAACCAGCTGTCTAGCTGTGGGAGACCACATCGGCCAGTGGCTGCTCCCTAATTTTGGCAGCCATTTGTGAAGAAGTGTGGAAAATAGTAACATGAAAAATAATGGTGTTCATCTCTGAGTATGTAGCTCAACGGCAGAGCATTGTTCTGCCAGTCAAGTGGCCCCCCAAAGCGGTGCTTTCTTAGCTTAGCAATAGAGAACATGTCCAGTATGTATAAGGGGTCCTGGATTCGACTTGCAGCATCTCTGGTTGAAGGTTCTCAGGTAGCCAATCAGGGCTGTCACCAGGCTCGTTATGTAACACCTGATGCCTTTACAGACAACAGCATTGATAAATACCATCGCCTTGCTCTTGTGTCCCTGCAAGGCAGGCAGCTTGGTCGCTTTCCCAGTGTACAGTTGGAAAACTGATTCTGAAGAATGTGAGAGCGGTTCTGTGCGACCAAATAATCATGACTGAAATACCAAACATGCTTCTCAGCCTCCGTGTTCCATCCTCTGTCCTTCTAAACTGTGCTGCCAACCTAGGCTGTACCTTTCATTTCATTTTTGTCCAAATAAATGGTTTTTTAAAAAAGAAAATTAAATTGTTTCTTAGCCTAAAGAACTGACACGGTTACACAGGACTCTTCCCAGGGCATGCTCTCATCATTCACATCTCTTGTCCTTTCAGACATGTCTATCTTTGGTCACTGCCCAGCTCATGATGAGTTCTACCTGGTGGTGTGTAACCACTGTGGCCAAGTGGTTAAACCTCAAGCCTTTCAGAAGCACTGCGGTAAGCTAGGCAGCCAACTTGTCAATTGAATGTCTGTAGCCTCTCAGGGAGAGCTGTGAGAAAGGGCTGCTTGCTGCTGCTGCCTGAGGCACCAACCTGTTGGAGGGACCTGTGTGACAGGCCCATTTTTTGTGGCTTCCTCCCCAAAACGGGGGGAAGGTGGCCTTCCCTTCAATCTCTTCTTCTGCAGGGAGTGAGGAAGCTGCTGGGAAAGCAGCAGCTGGCAAAACAAAAGGCCAGTTCTGGTCATGTCAGGCTCATTTTTGATCTGTGTTTTGCTATTCATGTTTTGGGAATGAATGGAACAAGGGAAACAGCTAGAAAATGGCCGAGGCCACGCACCTGGGTAATCTCTGAAAGGCAAGGCCCGTGGACAGTGGCTGCATGCATCTCAATAAGAGAGAGAGGTCATAGCAGGGTGGTAAAGCACATGCTTTTTACGAAGTCCCCAAGGTGATTGTCTACGTAAAGCAGGGATGGAGATATGTGAGGTCTTCCACATGTTGGAGGACTGCAGCTCCATCAGCCCTCACCAGCATAGCCAGGGACAATGAGTGGTAGGCACTGCAGTCCAGCAAGCACATATTTCCCCATCTCTGAGTTAAAGGATGTCTGATAGAAAAGTTGGCAAAAGGTGGTTTCCAGCCTTTTATTTTAGTGGGTGTACTTGAAATAAGGCTAATGTTGCACACAAACCAAAGACTTCTGCCTGAGAGCCACTGCCATCAAGAGTAAACGTTTCTGGTCTAGATGAACTGGTGGTCTAATCTAGACCTCTTTCTCCCCCAGGTTTTCCTCTCGGACCTTACAAAGGCAACTGCTACATTCAGCCATTTTCTAGCTGCTTGTTGTCATGCTTTCTCAAAATATGGGGAAGGAGAGCTAATGTAGGAAATCTCCTTTAGTGATCATAAGCTGGTAATGGATCTGCATCCAAACTTTATCTTACGGCCTGATTCCCTTTGGGGATGTGGTCATTTTACTGGGATTTTCAAAAGTCCCCTCACCTGCCATCTGAAAAGATTACCAAGCAGAAATGAGAGGAATGGAGGGGCTTGGGTTGGGCTGCTTTTCTAAGTTGCCATCTGGCTATTTGGCAAAGATATGCAAGGAGGGTAGCAGGGAGACCTCATGGTTTCAGGGCATGGTCTGAAGGTGCATGATGTGGCGGACTTGCTGAAGTGAAACAGGTCGGAATCTGATCAGACCCTGGATGGGGACATAATGTGCACCAGTTTGGATTCCATCATAGCAGAAAGTTGGGATATAAATATGTTGTTGTTTATGTTACGGATCTGCAAGGCTTCCTCTGGGTTTTATGACTCATGCTTTTAGGAACTAAGTAGTCATGCACAAACATGGCTGATGGTGGCAGCAGCTGTGTGTAAATAGGTTCCAGCTGGTCCTGCCAACCCTACACATCTACCCCAGTACCTGGCTGCAAACAGGAAGCGGGGTTTAAGTGGAAAGGTGGTAGAGGAGAGGGAGGGGCGGCTCCTCTGCTCTCTTCTAGTTTTGGGGCAGGTCTTGGAGGATGTGCTTTGGATGCCACTTACTACAGTGCAATGCTGTGCGGCCAAAAGGCTGTGTCCAAAACTCTGTAGCTTGGCAAATTGGGAGAGCTTGATGTCATGTCTGTGGAATTGGAAAGACCTAATTTCTGTTCTGAAAGCTACGACTATCTTTAGCTAAGTAGATTCCAGTGGAAATTGGGCATTGATGTGAAATATGTTCACAAGGTGAGACTCCTGGAATGTTAGACATGAACTCTAGTCTGCGTGCGTGTTGGAGGGAATCTTAGATCTGGGTTTTAAAAGTATCTAAATACATGACCATAAACCCCAGACTCCTCACTTGATTATAATGCAAAAATTGGGTGTTTGCACAATTTGTTTCGACAGGGCTAATACACTATGTTCCAGAAGTTCAGTTTAGATTTGGGATGTGGGATGGGTGGGCAGGCCTGACCAGGCAGTCTGTTAGAATTTCTTGCTGATTTCAATATTCTTGCCCCTGAGTATGTGTCAATTTGCAATATTTTGTCTATGACTGAAGAAGGAGGATTGGGAGTCGCAGAACATTTGTGGGCAGCGGGCATGTAGATATGGAATGATAAGGACTGGTGATGGAATGGAAAATAGACTTAAAGAAAAAATACCACACCCTGATTACTCGGTTGCTATTGGAATTAGTTTTGAACTCCAGGCCATTCCCTGAAGTTAGCAGTGTGGCTGTAACCTCAGAGGTTCTTTCTTTGGCTAGCCAATGCTGAGCTTTTTTTGGTTAACGGGATCTTTAACTCCCACTTAGAGAGACGGCATGGACCTCTCAGCAAGCTCTATGGCCGGGTGCAGACCTCCTCAAACTTACAGAAGTGCCATGCAGCAGTCAATGGGCGATCTCTTGCCGGTGGGGGCCATGGATCCACCAAGTCCTGGCGTGAGAAATCCCAGAGCTCCTTCACTCAAGCTCAGCACACACCAGATCGAACAGACAAGATGCCGAAGGACAACCTCTGGTATGAGGGGTTTGGGTTTGCTGTCAAGGGATTTTTCTGGACAGCTCAACAAATCCTTTTTGGACCGGAGGGAATATTTTCTTTCCACCCCACACACTTTTGGGAAGCATTCCAGCTATATTCTGACTGGTTGGAATGGAGAAAAGAATGGGAAAAGTAATCCTGCAACCCAGAAAAAGTTGCTATTTTTCTAGATAAGGGATTGCAGATATGTTTTACACTTTTCTTTTTCTTTTTGTTCTCACTGTAGAAAGATAAGTGCTAAATTTACCTCTAGGTTGTTACAGACCTAGGAATGGTTAGGGTATTTTTTTCAAGATGGTTTTATACTTTTTATTTATTTTAATGGTCCCAAGTGCCATGGATAGATGTTGTTATTATGAGGAGGGGGTTAAGTATGATTTTAAATTGTTGATATATTATTTGATTCCTTGATTTATTTTTTAGAAGTGTGTCCTACTTTTCCTCTTTCAAGGTGGATTACAGCCACAGTAGAGATCACAGCAGTGAATTGCAAGAAATTAACCTTTAAACATTTTTAAAAATAGATAAGGAAAACAAATGGATTCCATCATAATAGAGTGCTCAATGGTTTTATGACCTCTTCCTATTAGTCACTTCACCCCTTCCATGTTGTAGATGAAACTAGGGAAAATAGTAAGTGAACATACTAATTCATTTAAAGGCCAAGGTTAGAGTCTGCTATTGCAATGATTTCTAGAGTCACATGAAGAACTGATGGATGACATCCACTCCTGATCTAGCTACTACTGGGACATACTTATTGAGGTATTATTGAAGAACAATCTGAAAGCACTTGAAAAGTTGCTTTCTTCACCCTGACCTACTGCTGATGGCTGAAGATGAGATGGGAGCTTGTTGTTGTTCAGCACTGGGAGGATGTGTAGGCTGTAGCTGTTAAGGTCTTCCACTTTTTCCAGTTTCTTGACTACATGTGGAACCTCAGGCCTGAAGGCCGAATCTGGTTATTCCAAAGCCTTCCCTTTCCTCCAGCCACCAAGAATTTGACAGTTTATAAGTTTTGTGCATTTTCCCCACTCAGAGCTTTTGACAAAGCCCCTCAGAAAAGATTCTTGAGCAAACTTAGCAGTCACAGAGTAAGAGAGGAAGTCTCCTTATGGTTCAGTAATTGGATAAAGAACTGAAAGGAGATAGTAGGAATAAATAGTAAATTATCCCAATGGAAGGGTGTAAACAGTGGGGACCCACAGGGATCACTACTAGGACCGATGCTATTCAGCTTATTCATAAATGACCTGGAATTAAGGGTGAGCAGTGAAGTGGCCAAGTTTGCAAATAACACCAAAGCACCTAGAGCAGTTACAACAAAAAGGGATTGTAAGGAGTTTGCAAAGTTTCTTTCCAAACTGGGAGAATATACAACAAAATGGCAAATGAGGTTCAGTGTGAACAAGTGTAAGGTAATGCACATTGGGGCAAAAAGTCCCAACTTCAAGTGTTGGCTGACGGGATGCCAACTAGGAATGAGAGATCAAGAAAAGGGTCTTAGAGTCGTGGTGGACAGCTTGATAAAAATGTCAGCCGAGCGCACAGCTGCTGTGAAAAAGGCAGACTCTACACATAATTAAACAAGGAATTGAAAATAAAACTGCTAAGATTGTACTTCCCTTATACAAAGCTATGACGCAGTCACACTTGGAACACTTTGTACAATTCTGGTCACTGCACCTAAAGAACAATATTGTAGAGTTGGAAAAAAAGTGCTAAGAAGGCTAACTATTTTAAGGCTTTGAAAATGCACGAGTAAGAAGAGATACAACAGAAGTGTACAGAATTATGCATAGTGTGGAGAATGTAGATAGGGAGAATTTTTATCCCTTGTTCTTAATAGTATAGCCCAGGGTCATCTATTGCAGCTGAATGGTGGGAGATGCATAGCAGATAAAAAGAAGTACTTTTGCACACTGCACTAACTATGGAATTTAATTCAACAAGATGGCCACCAATGAGAGGATATCACTATCACTATATTGCATTTATATCCTGCTTATTTCCTCTTGTGAAGGACCCAAGGTGGCTTACATAGCTCTATTTTACCCTTAAAACAACTACCCTATGAGGTGGGTTAGTCTGAGAGTCTGTGATTGGCTGAAAATCACCCAGTGAACTTCGAGGCTGAGTGGGGACTTGAACCCAGGTCTCCCAGGGACCCAGTACAGCACTCTAAGCACTATACACACTGTCTTTAAAATAGGTTTGGCTAAAGTCATGGCTACTAGTCGAGATGGCGTTATGCTACATCGGCAACATATGCCTCTATACACCAGTTGATGAGGATCATGGGTGAGAGGGTGCTGTTACACTCATGTCTGCTTGTGTGTTCCTGTGAGCAGCTGGTTGGCCACTGTGATTCTTAATCTGATCTAGCAGAGTTCCTTCTATTGTTAAATTTCTCTCCTAAGCCTTTGGGGGTACCTTTGGCAAAACTTGAAGCATTGCCCTAACCTCCTCTTAGGGTTAGGGATCTTTGGACACTGTTCACAAAACTGTCCAAGGTATGCCTCTGTTGGCAAAGGTGTCCAGGTGCCTTCCTCTAAAAATCTGGATGTACTAAAACCCAGCCTAGTAGAGAGACAAGATTATAACCCTTGATCAAAGAGGTCACGGTTTCTGACTTTTTGCTTCTTTTATCCCTTAGCTTGTTTGTGCCTGTTGTTAACTTAGAGAAGATCTCCAGCCTTTCAAAGTCAGATGGAGATGGAATCAAAGCGCCCCCAAAGCCTTCCATCTCCACCATCTCCAGGCAGTCCTTTGCCAGCTCAAAAGAGATTTTGGGCAAGCCCTCCGTAGTGGCATCACCAAAAGAGGCCCTGACATCAGCCAAGGCAGGCAGCTCCATTATACCTGCAGATGGCCTGAGCAGGAAACTGGAGAATGCTTCGACCTTGGGAGAGAAGGAGGCTGTTGCTGTGAAATCTCTGAAAAAGATGCCACGTGAGTCTTATCTTTCTTCCTATATATCACTAGGGGCAGTGGAGTGGGTAGGCAAACAATTAGGGGCGCAATGGCTTTATTCCAGCCTTCTCCAACCTGGTGCCCTACAGAAGTCTTGGACTACAACTTGCATCATTCCCCGCCAGCATTGCCATTTGTTTATCCTGCAGTCCAACACACCTGGATTGATTTTTTTCCCCTCTATTTCATAATGGTGCCTTCCCAGCATTTTCTTTCATGAACTCTGATTTGGTAGTATATTTGCCACCCTATCTGAGGCATCAAGATAAAATATTACCTGTAGCTTTGGAGCGATTGAATTCCACAATGTGTCAAACTGTCTCTAGACTTCTTGTTGCTGGACCCTTTTGGTAAGCCTGCCATGTTGGGTAAGGCAAAGTTGGATGGAACCCCTGTGCTATCTGGTACTTCCTTGGCAGTATAGAATGAGGAGAGGCTGGGGGACAGCCAAGCTGTTAGATAGTCTCTTCCCAGGTGTGTTTACCTGCTTTCTCATGGGCACCCTTTATAAAGGGGAAGCAGCTGTATAGGAGAGTCAGCCGTACTGAGACATTAAGCCATAAACAGAAGTGGATTCAAGGGGCCGTAGAAATGGTCTGCTACTTCAAGCTCACTTGAGCTAGAGTGGCAAGCAAGGGTGTCCTGGCATCTTTTTGCTTCAGTCTTCCCAAAATAATCATCTTCTCAGCACAATAAACTCTATCCTGGTCACAGTTAGACTGTGCAGTAATACACAACAAAATGTTGCAAGACAAGACATATTGTTATACAAAATTAATTGCTCAGTTCATTTCTGTAAGTTTGTTCAGCACATTTCTGCTCCTTTGACTGCAAGAACTAGGGTTTCTGGGTGTAGAATTTTTCCAAAGGGCCTGCCTGAATGGAAGGGAAGCAGAAGCCCTGGGAATGAAACTGCCTGTGAAAATTCCATATTCCCTTCTGCATCTCCTTTTGTGTTTTTCCACACAGGGAAAGAATGTGACTTAAACAGGCAGTGTGGGGTGGTGAACCCTGAAACCAAGAAGGTTTGCACTCGGTTACTGACCTGCAAGGTACAGTGCTGCTTTGGACATGTTGCTTGAAGAAACTGGGGAGGAAAAGGGGAAGGCCAAGAGAGTTGTGCGATACCGCAAAGAGAACTCCCCTGCTTCTGCTTTCCATTTCTCTTTCACCAGCCCTGAATGGTAGCCTGGCATATGAAAATTAACCCATCCCTGTTTTCCTCCCTGCCAGCAAATGCTTCATCTTCTCAATAGTAAAGGGGAGCATCATCCATCACTGTTAGGTGCATTTTGTGGGTGTGTCTGTGGATCTCAAGCATGTGGGGGGCGGGGGGCGGCAGGGGCTTTCTGTATAGTTACTGAAATTTACTTCAGTTCCAGGGGGTGATGTTGACTTACCTGATCTCCTACTCTCCAATGTTTGGGGTTCCAAATGTTTTTCCCTAGCCTGGTGTTTTCCAGATATGGTTGGACTCCAAATTCCATCAGCCACAGCTGATTCAAACATGGCAAAGCCAAAGTCTCAATTTGAATAACAGAATGTATAACCAAGCCCAACACAATTTCTATGGCACCATTTAGGATAGTTTCACCTTGTGCTTTGCCTGCAAGTAAAGCATCCTTTTTGATAAAAAACTTTTCTCCATCTTTTAGCAATGTCAGTTCTATTCCAGGTGCACCTGTTTTTCAAATCCCATTTGATGTTCATGCAAGTAGTTATTTTCTGTCTCACTCTTCACCCAACAATTGTTTGACTACCAGCCACCCAGATTTATCAAAATGATCACTAATTGAAAGTGTTGCAGTCTTCTCAAGGGGCTGTACCCTTCTTGTTTTCACATGGAGAATTCCCTAATAGGAAGGCCCCGCCATGTGAACATAGCATTGCCTCTCGGAGCTTGCCTTCTCATAAAGCAACTTGAAAATGAACTTCCTCCCTGAGGAAGTTAGCAGGTATATGTGAGCAGGTCTTGTAAAGTCTTGAGCAGGGCAGTGGTGAGCATATTTGCTGGACGATGCATGTGACCCGTCTCTCCTGCTTGTGCCCCAGATCCATTCTGTACACCAGCGTCGCGAGGTGCAAGGGCGTGCAAAGGACTTCGATGTCTTGGTGGCTGAACTCAAGGCCAGTGCCAGGAAAGGGGAGTCCCCCAAAGATAAGAGCCCAGTGAGGAAGGAGGTGGCCTGCGAACGACTCCCACAGGACTCCTCTTCATTGTCACAGACAGCACTGGTCCTGCCCAATGCTTCTCCCTGCCGCATAAAGCAACCCTATGCTCACTGTGCACTTTCCAGGTAACGAGGAAATTGAGCATGTCCTCTTGACTTAAGGCTGCTTGGGTGGGCACTTCAGATGTTCTGGGCCTCCAGTTGCTACCGGCCATAGCCAGCATAGCCAGTGGTGTGGCATGATTGGAGTTGTAGGCCATCTGCCCTCTCCCAAAATGAGTGTGTATATATTGTGTATGTGTACTTTTATATAGATATAAAATGTTCTAGTAGTGGATCCAAAATTATTTCTGCAACAGGGTTGAGGACATTCTGTCCTTGGTTCACACAACCCCATTGTGGACCTCTGTTGTTTTTAGGTTTCGGGTTTCCTCCGAGAGTGACCCGGACGACCTGCCTACCACCTCTAGCGAAGTCGACCGCCGGTTCTACTCTTTCCCAGTGCCCAAGAGTGCTGGCTGGGTTTCGAGTGAAGAGAGTGAAGATGAAGTCATGGAGGAATCCCGCAAGCTAGACTGCCATTATGCAACACGGTCGCCACACCCCCAGGCAGTAAGTGGCAGGCTGGCACCTGTGGAAGCGTTCCCCAACCCAGTGCCTTCTCATTGTGTTGAACTGCAGATGCCATCATCCCCAGCCAGCCTGGCCATTAGAGGGCAGTGAGCTGCGGAGACTTGGTGTGATATCCTTATGGTGAGGTGTGTGCCCCAAAATGTTGCAAGAGGAGTGCTGTGGGGAGTGGAATACAGGACCCCTGAGCACAGGAAGCCACTGTATATTGTGTCAGTCCATTGGACGTTTAGCCGCACATTTTATACCCTGGTAGCCACTCTTCAAGGTTCCAGGAAGAAGCCCTCACTCTCCCTTTAAGTGGATATACCAGGGAACGAGCCTGCAGCCTTGTGTGTGCAACCCATATACTCTCCTATTAGCCCACAGGTTAGATTCAGACCAAGCAAGTTGCCCCTTGAAATCAGGTGCAACTAGCTTAGTCTGCTTTCTACTCTCAAAAGTTATTGATAACTTTTGCAGTCTTCTGTGTTAGCTGCTTTCCATCTGCATCCCTATCAGACTGCAGGACACACACTTTGCATGATGAATTCCTAACACTTTCATCTTCCTCCCACCCCTGCTCCCTCCCCCCAAAAATATACCCCAGTTCTGCACTTTTGGAAGCAGGTTGGTAAGCCCAGGATGTTATGTGTTCAGTCGAAGGCTAGATCGATTCTGCTCTGCGCTCAGTTCCATGCTGGAGAGACATCTCAGTTCACACATGTGGAAGTAAGTTATCCTGGGGGAATGCAGATCAAATTATGAGATCAACTGGCATGTGTTAATGCCCTTGCGCACACTTGCATGCAGGCATGTTTGTGTGTACTGGCAAATCACTGCATTATCTGTGTGTCTGAAGACCTGTTTCCCGGATCACAAAACAGCATGGTCTCAAGTGCATGTTGACACAAACAGAGGTGTAGCAGCACCTGGCCCTACTCTGTGCTACAGTGCGTGCTTGTCCAGCAGGGAGGAAGTGAACTCCAGCAGTGAGAAGCAATTGTGCATGCGTTGCACTACCCACTGGTTTTGTAACAAGAGGTAACGGCTGCTTTCTCTTGGACATAGTGATCATTTCAGTTTTGAAAGAGGGCTTTCTAAGGTCTGTAAATGTTCCCCAAAAGAAAACATTGTTCGTGCCTGCGCCCTGCCCCTTTCAGCTGCTTCAGTGCAAATTTCTTCAGGCTGGCAGTGTGATCAGGGAACAAACCATTGAAATGATCCCAACAGCCAAAGCCAGCTCAGAGAAGAGGGATACCACGTTGCAAATACTTTTGCCCCATTTGCAGTTTCCCTCCACCCGAAGTCACAAATGGTACATGTCAAAATGGACAACAGGTGTTTTTTTTATTGCCACCAAATTTCGCAGGGTGGTGGTGGCAGCTGTGGAGAGGTCCATGGGGAAGATGGCTCCAGCCCTCTCAGAGTTGCCCACCACTGCTCTAAGCAGTGGCAGGAGAACTCAGACTGTAATGCACAAGTGGGAGCCAAACAGAGATATTGTTTGGAAACAGATGGCATCTATCCTGGAGAAAATACCACAAAGATATAATGTGTGCCCATATTCCAGGAGAATTTCTCTTTTTTTCCTAACATTTCAGAACAATTACTAAGGCTACAGACCTTTGATCACTTACCTGAAAATTTTGATTTGTTATATTTATGACTGGCCTTTTCCTCCATGACACTGCCAGAATCCCTGGAAACTCCAGCTGTGTAACTTAATCCCATGTTTAAGACACCCAATTACTGAAGTTCTTTGGGTGGTGCACAAATTACAATACGCACAATACAAGATGACCATAGAGCAATGAGAATAAAGCTGGTCAGATAAAAGGAATCTGAAACCACCAACAGCACAGAATAAAATTATACAAAAAGGCATCTAAAAGCACTGGAAACAAAACAGCAAGAGCAGCAGAAAGTCCAGTTCCTAAAATGCCTGTTAACATGGAAAGGTCTCCATCTGGTGCCAAAAAGACCTTCTCTTCAACAGAGGTGGTATCTGGAGAACATATTTTGATCCCCGGCAGCCATTCAGGTCAACTGCACATTTATTCGGGGTGGGGCGGAGAGGAGTCTAGGAAGGCCCCAACAGATAGATCGTACACATACTTACTCAGAAGTGAGTTTGTGTAAGATCACAGCCTTTTTGTGCTTATCTGTTGAGCTCAGTAGGACTTACTCCAAGGTAAGTATGCCTGGGATTTGCAGTTGAATGCATTGCTTTAATTAATGACTTGTAGAAATACCTGTAAAATTACATGCGAATCCTAGGTAGGCACATGTTTAACATTTCTCTCACAAAAGGGGCAGAAGGTGCTCTTGAGCTCTGCCTCTGCAGCTTGGTCTTCGCCCGCTCCTTCAGTGGGCCTTTCAGCCCACGCTTCTTTGCTGGGGCTTTCAGCCTCTCTTTCTCCAGTAGGTGGCACTGGACTCCAGGGTTTGATGGTGCCTCCTTCAGGGAGAGGAACGAGCATCAGAACAAAGGGAAGGCAAACACCCAGAGGCTGGCTGAGAGGATAAGGAGGCTGGGGGGTGAGGTGGGGTGTATTTTCACTCCTCTTTGTAAAGGTGTTTGGAACCTGATCCCAAACTAGAGCAAAGGAAACAATGGCTTTGGTTCTCACAGTTGTGGAGGGGGAGTGGGAGGCCAGATTCATTCCTTAATGCTTTCTTCCCCCTTTATTGCCCAACCAGAAGGATCCCTCCAGCTGCCGATCACCAGATGGTCTCCACGCCACCCCCTGTGCTCCCCTCAGGCTTCTCCAGCACTTCTCCGAATTGCAGCTCCTCGCTGGTGTGCAGCCTCCCAGGCAGGGCTTCTGTGTCCTGCGCGGTGTCAGCACTGGCAGCTTCCCGGGACAGTCGGAGCCACCACAGCCCGAACTATGCCATGGGCTCTCCCCATGTGGCAGCCGCCTGCAGCCAGTCAGACTGCCTGGGGGGGAGCCAGTCCATCACCTCCCCGCTTCCAGCCAACACCCCTTCACCTTCGTTCAGCAGGTTACCTTTGTCCAAGGCCAGCAAGTCTTCCAGAGCCAAGGAGGGGGCCAGCAACCTGGAGCCAGAGGCCCTGGCTCGGAAGCGCAAGCAGTCCCCCGGCACTCCTGCTAGTCCACCGTACAAACAGACCTGCTTCCTGGATCTTGGCAAGAGCAAGGCAGCTGGCTGCCCAGGCTCCCACCCCTCTGCTAAGGCCAAGCCATCTGTGATGTCCTCCTCTGCGCTTTCCCTCAACGGAACCATCTCTGCAGGTGCCAGGATCAAGCGGGCCAGCCACGCGGACTGCAGGGCTCCCAGCCATGTCCCAGTCAAAGCTTCCCAGCTGGAGAACAGGAGCTCCTCGCTGAATGGGCCAAAAGCACTGCAGGCCAACTGCATCTCTGATGAGGAGGCCAAGAGACGCAAGAATACAGCCACCTATTGCAGGCCGGTGAAGGCCAAACACTCTCCTTCACCTTCTTCTTCTTCATCTGATTTGGGCAGCTCTGTCAGAAGGAAGAAGCCGGTGGTCTCCTTGGGCTTTGAGGAGAAGCAGAACACAGTGAAGGTATGTTGTCGTCTTAGGCTCCTCAGCATGTTGCAAACCTTTTCCTCCCTTGTATAGGTGGTTTCTTCTCCCTTTGGCCACAGTGTCTGTTCTGACATCACAAGATGAGCCAGTTCTTAACTACGACCTTTTGCAACATAACATATGCTGCCCCCCAGATCTAATAAAATAAAACAAGATTTACATCACCACACACAGATCCCTTCCCACCAATGCTGTATAGCCTGTCTGAGGAGTTCTAGACAGTGTGCAAGTAGCTTTCAAAAACTGTCGATTGTAATTGTTTGACTATGGTGTTTTGCTAGATGTGCTTGCTTTTCTTGCCTTTTTTGCAAAGTAAAGCATTAAAAAAAGAAAGATGCCATGACAATTCTGCATAATTCTCACGAATTTCTAAAACTGCTTGCTTTTTATTAGGTTCATAAGCTTTAGTCAATGCTTTGTTCTACTGACACTTGAATTGGTTAATGTGTGAGGGCAATTTTCATCCGTGGGTCAGAGAGCTAAGGACACAGGTGAGTGGGGGCAGATATTTGCCCTCCCAGAATGCCCTCTGCACTCCTTCCTTGTGCTTGCCCTAATGCCCCTGTCAAAGCAGCTGGCACAGTCCTTTCCAAGCTGGTTGCAAGGGGTGGGGAGGGGAGGGGGATCACAGCTGCCCAGCTCTGAAGTTGGTGCTGCTTCTCACCTCCAGGGTGAGAATCTGAAGCATCCTGTGGCCCTCTGGACACAGTCTGTGGGACCCAGGACCACTACCTGAGAGTTGATGCTTTCGTGGGACTAATATTAAAAAAGCCCAAGGTAGACTATGACACATACACTCTTGCATGTTTGCAGAGGTGGGGAAAGAGAAGTACTTATCAGCTGCTGTTCCCACCTTTCTCTTTCTGGTTCTTCAGTCTTAAAGAGCAATGAGCCCGTGGTAAGGACTCCGTCCTTTTTCTTGGCAGAGGTTCTGTGCCTGTGAGAGCTGTATAACAGGCATAAATTCAGAAACAGATTTTTCCTGGCCTGAAGGTGCAGTCATAGGAAAATAGCTTCACCTGCTGCATATCTTCCATAAAGCAGCTGTTAAACATAGATTCTCAGCAGGGGAAAGATAGCAATCTTAGCTAAAGAATCTTTTCTGGTGGAAGAGCAGCAATATTTAAGCTGCAGCTATGTTAATTATGTTAAAGACTGTCAGGTTTTGCTCCGAGGGAACAGTTTGCACAAATCCTCATAAATAAAACTGAGGGGAGGGGATTGCATGATGTAGATTAGAAGCAAACTCAAGAATGATTATAGACCCTATTTCTGTCTCCAATATCAGTCGGGTCCCACGATGAGGAGGAGGCGAAGCAAAATTGTCTCATCAGCAAAGCTTAGTTGAGGCAAATGAGGTTTGACAGTATTAATAACTGAATGGAACTGTTATCAGGGTAAATTTAGGATGTTTCCCTGTTCACAGTGCTTGCAGCCATGAAGGAGCGAGAATGGGAACAGTAACATGTGATATTTGTTTAAAATATTTCTGTGTCACCTAGCAATAAAAAAGCAAGCTCTCCACGGTATCCAACACATTTTGGTGTTAACATGGCGTGTCATAATGTTGCTCTTAGTAATTCCTGTGAGAAGGGGTGTGCCTCTGTGCTCTATTGTGGTGCTATCAAATGTCAAATCTTCTTTATAAGTACTGCAGTGAAAAATGCCCGATCTGCATAGTGATGTGGAAGAGACAATTGTGATTAATGGATAACAACCGTGCATCTGGCTCTGAACCAATACCATTATTAACTCCATGTTAGTGACTTTTTATTTTGGAGAAGCGATTCGGTGTTAAATGAAACAAGACATTTAAACAATATCCAGCAGTGATGTTCTGCCTTGACTTGCACGTACGGAGGGCCTGTACAATCTGTAGCACTGAATTTCTAGAGCTGGAGCAGGGAAGGGGGCTTGTCTAGTTCAGCCTCCTCTCTGTGCAGGTTGCAGCAACAACATTACTACGGTTGACCTTCCAGCCTCTCCTTAAGTACTTCCAGTGGAGAGCCCGGCATGCCGCCTGTTTTACTAGTAGGAAATGTCTTCTAAGGCTTAACTGAAATCCAATTCCCTACCATTTCCACCCACCATTGCTTCCAGTCTATTCCGTTAGAGCAACAGAGAAGAAGTCTGCTCCCTTTTCTGGGCGCCGGTTGGAAGATTGTTATCTTATCCCCTTAATCTTCTTTTCTCTAAGCTAAACCTACCCTGTCATAGGACTTCATTTCCAGATGCCTCACCATCCGGTTTGCCTGTCCCTGGAAGTGCCCTCTCTCTCTAATCTGGCATCCAAGCGCAGTCTGCCCTGCACAAAAGAGGGTACAACTGTTACTGTATATTATGTGCCTGCTCATCTGTATGGCTAAACTGGGTAGAAGGATACATGGATGCATGTGTCAGCCTCGTCCCTCCATGCCCCTGCGCACCTGGCTTCCCCCCATGCCCACATGCATCTGGCTTCTGCATTGACTTCACACTGAGTGCAAAGATCTGAAGACAGCCATTTAAGTTTCCCTCTGTGTGGAATCCAAGTGTGTAGAACTTTGGGGCAGGGTTCTGTGTGTGCCCTGGAATCACATCCCCCTACTCTACATGAAGGCAAGTTCACAACTGAATAGGGCTCATTAATTCCTGTTATCTGGACACAATGCTTCTGTTAAGGCCACCAAGGGTTGCATTAGCTTTTTTAGCAGCCAGATCATATTGCTGGCTCATATTCTGCTTATTATCCATTAAGACACATATATCCATTTCTCTCGTACTGCTGTTGAGCCAGGTCTTCCCAGCTTATGTGCTGCCTTCACTTTGGGGCCTCTTTCTGTACATAAAATAACCATACAATTATATTTGTAGAATTTCATCTTGTTGCTTTTGGCCCATGTTCCAGGTTGTCAAGATAATTTAGAATCTTGATTCTGTCTTCTGCAGTATTAGCTTTTATTACCAGCTTTGTGTCATCTGTAAAGTGATAAGTTTCTTTCCACTCCCTCACCCAAGTCATTAATCAATATGTTGAACATTGCAGGGCCTAGGAGAATGTTCTGCAGGACTCCACCAAAGCTCTCTCTCCAGTTTGATGCCGAGCTATTTACTGGGTACAGTTGCTCAATTGGTACTTAACAGTAGTAGTGTCTACCCCACATTTTGCCATCTTGTTAGCAAGAGCATCATGGGAGACTATGTTAGATGCTTAGTGAATTCAAGATATACTCTATCCACAGTATTTCCCTAATCTACTGGTTAGTAACTCTACTCAAAAAGGAAATTATGTTGCTCTAGCCCAACTTACTATTGATAAACACTTGTTGGCTCCTAGTAACCAACATATTCTTACATGTTCTCAACATAGTACTTACAGGCTAACTGCTCAATACTCTCTTCTACGATTTTGCAAGTATTGATGTCAAATAGATCTGTAGTTTCCCACATGTCCTCTCTGCCTGTGTGTGGATCTAGAAAACTTTTGCCCATTTTCAGCCTTCTAACACCTTACCCTTTCTCTGGATTACTGTCAGCAACTTTGATATAATGTCTGCAGCCTTCTTCAACATACTAGGATGTAATTCATGTGACCATGGAGACTTGAACGCATTTGAAGCATCTCAGTGTTTTCAGACACTCTCCTTACCTATCTTGGATTGGAAGTACATCATATAATTTGTTCCACATTTCTCATGTCACACACAGTTTCCTGCATGGGAGAAGGCTAAGGCAAAATAATTGAGTAGTTCCTTCATCTTCTCCCTACTGCTCATTAATACTTCACCATCTTTCCCAGGAGCAGACCAACCCCTTCCTCCTCCTCTTTGCTTATAGCATCCCTTACAATCTTCAGCTCATTCTGGTTCTTAGCCTTCATTACACTCTTGTACTCGTATATGTCCCTCTTTCCTTCTCTCTTGTCTGTCGTTTTTAAGTGTCAGTTCATCAGAGAGCTTCCTGTGCTACCACAATAACTTCTTTAGATGTCTCCAATTTTGCTAACTTCTCATTGGAATCGTTAGCAATTGTGCCTTCAATTTTTTACTTTTCAGATTCTTCCATCCCTCTTGAACACTTTTCTCCTTCAGAATTTCTTGTTGTGGTATCCTACCCAATTTTTGTTTGTTTTCTTTAAAATGAGCCTTCCTTAAAGTTCAGGACATATATCTGACAGTGTTCACCTCCCTTATTACAATAAATTCCAAGATGACACAACCACATTCAAGATTCCTGCCACTTTCTCTTTATCAATCACAATTAAATCCATGATAGCAAATCTCTTTGTTCCATCCTTGACCTTCCTCCTTCTAAGAGATGAAGTTGTCAGCAAGGCAACTTACTAACTTACGGGGTGTTCCATTCCTAGCAGTTAGGCCCTCCTAATTTTGTGTCTTATCACACCAAGTCACAGTGATACCCATCAGATTGCACTTACTTTTCCATAGCAGGGTTTTAGATTCATCCTGTTTGTTTTCCATATTCCATGCATTAATATATATATACACATGAGAAACCACGGGTATTGCACTTTCCTTGTTTCCCTGCTGTATTTCTCTGGGAGATCCAGGTACACCTCCACTGTTCTGCTTCCTCCTTTGTCATACATGTTTTTGTGATTAATACATGGCTCAGTACCTAGTTTTGGGCTTTGGCTCCCTCTGACATAATGAGCTTACTTGCCTGTCTCGATTTGCTCTCTTTCCAACTCTGGGGAGAGTGCTCCTGAGAATATGCAGATGAGACCAAGCATTTCTGGAAATGCACAACCACTTCGGAGCACTAGGGAGCTGTTCTTGTGTGAGAACGGTGGTGTGCAGAAACATGAGGCTGGACCAAAAGAGCTGCACAAGGACAGCTGCTCATAGTGATTGCATGGGAGCAAGAATAAACCATGCCACTAGTGGAGGGGCTGAGAAAAGCCAACCAGCTGGATTCAGCCTGGGTGCCACCGGTTCCCCTCCCGATTTGCATCCAGCAGCAGTATGAGCTTTCATATCTAATTCTTGTCTCTTCTTATACTTGTTGCCTCTGATTTATTTACTTTGATAGATTTGTAAGCTGCTCTTCTATCACTCATATTCAAACTGGCTATCTTCCCAAGTGTTAAGAAGTGGGAACTGTGCTTTTAAGTAATCAAGGATTTAGAGTTTGTATCTGCCAATACAGAAAGGGCGTTTTAGAGTATATTCTGACCACTTTGAAATAGTCTTGCATTTCTGTGTGCTCATTATACTTGTCGTAGAAGTATGTGCTACGTCAGAGCACTGCTGCTGTTGTGATCAGGGATCACATGACAAAAAAAAAAGTCATTCCAGATGTTGTCAGGAGCAGGGTTTCAACCACTGATCTGTGCTTTAGGTGTGCAACCAAATCAGAGGAAGTGGTGAGTTCAGGATTATCATCTCAGGACAACACATCTTTTCTACACCTTGAGGATTTTTAAAAATTAGATATATATTCTACTTTATTTCTTATGAACTCAAAGTGGCTTACACCATTCTTTTCCTCCTGCTCTAAGTCTTGTCCCCACAACAGAAAGAATCCAGAGGAGCAACAAAATGATTCAGGGTTTGGAAACACTGCCCTATGAGAAGAGACCGCGAAAACTAGGCATGTTCACCCTTGAGAAGACTGAGAGGGAACATGGTATCAGTACCTCAAAAGCTGTCAGAGAGGAAGATCAAGATCTCTTCTCACTGATACCAGAATATAGGACATGGAATAATCGTGTCAAGTTGCAACAACTCAGGTTAAGGCTAAATATCAGGAAAAGTTTCCTCACTGTTAGAGCAATGCGACAGTGGAACCAATTGCCTAGAGAGGCGGTGGGTTCTCCCACACTAGAGACATTCAAAAAGAAACTGGACCATCCTCTGAATGGGATGGTGTAACTTGGTGTCCTGTAACAGCAGGGGGTGGGACCTGATGGCCTTTTTGGCCCTTTTTAGCTCTACTATTCTATGAACAACAACCCTTTGAGTTAGGTTGGGCTGAGGGTCTGTGACTGGCCCAAAGTCACCCAGTGGCCAAGTGGGGACTAGAATCCAGGTCATTTGAATCCCGGCCTCACACTCTTAACCACTACACCATGCTGGCCTTCTTGTTGAGGACGTTGAGATGCCTTCCTAAACTGCTGCATTTAAATTGAGATCGCCTGCATTTTTTGGATCATTCCCATCTAGTTTGGTGTCTCTTTCCAAGCTGAGTAATAGTCAATAATTAATCAGATCTGTTGGTGTCACCCCTGTGATTCCAGTTGTCAAATTTTCCTGCAGTGACTTGATGAAAAAGCTACATGGAAATTATTCATAGTAACTTATGAAGGGGCTCTCCATGGATCACTGTGTACCTCTAAAGCAAAGCAGCGCATCTTACAGGCAAAAACATCTGGAGGCTTACATCTCCAGATGATATGTGGAGGACGATTGCCTAGCGACAGTGACACATGCATTGGTTACTTCCCGGTTGGATTTCTGTAACGCGCTCTACGTGGGGCTGCCCTTGAAGACAGTCCGGGTACTTCAGATGGTGCAGCCAGGTTGCCGACGGGGACTGGGCGTTATTCTCATATAACCCCAGTCCTCTACCAGCTTCACTGGCTTCCCGTCGAAGTCCGGGCTCAATTCAAGGTGCTGGTTATTACCTATAAAGCCCTTAACGGCTTGGGACCTGGATACTTGAAGGAACGCCTGCTTCCGTATTTGCCCTCCCGCCCCTTGAGATCGGCAGCAGAGGCCCTCCTCTGGGAGCCTTCTGTGAGAGACATCAGGAAGCAAAGTACCCGGAGGAGGGCTTTCTCTGTGGTGGCGCCCCGCCTGTGGAATGCACTCCCCAGAGAGGTCCACCTGGCACCATCGTTATTTGTTTTTTCGGCGCCAGGCTAAGACCTTTTTATTTCAACATTATTTTAATAACTTTTAATATTAGCTATATATGTTTTAATCTGCAGCCAGGGTGGATCTGGAATTTATTTGTATTAAGTTTTATTCTATTCTTCTTGTTTATTTATGTAAGCTGTCCTGAGGCTCTGTGAAAGGACGACATATAAATATTCTAAATAAATAAATAAAATCTCCCATTGGCTTTAACCAGAACAGGCACTGGTGCGGGATGGTCAGAGTTATGCACCAAAACAACCAGAGGGCTACAAGTTGTTGAAGGCCTCTTGAAAGAAGAGCAGCAGGGGGCTATACCTTACCTTTCATGGGATGGCCTCATCACTTTACTCTGTGAAGGGTGGTTTGTGGGAGGGTGCAGCTTTCAAATACTCCTATGAGAACTTCCATGCATCTAACTTGCCATTATAAATCTTTGTTTGCATGATCCTATGCAATCTTATGCCAAGTATTATCTCAGATTAATTAAAAAGTTGCCATGTAAAATCCTTATTAAGTGACCAATATGGCTGTGTGTTCTTCTGTTGTTGCAAATAAGAAGTGGTTGCAGCATTGACTGTAGTAAACATTTCTTTCAGTGAATGGTGCTACGTAAGTTGTCATCTCTTGCACTGACACCTTGTTCTCTCTTCTTTTACAGTCAAAAGCGCATTAACAGCAAGTGCCTGCATTCTGCAGAAGGAGCCAACAGTCTGAGAACTCTACCCCTAGGCCCAGTTCAAAGCCTCTTTGCTTTTTATAACTTTATAGTATTTTTTTAAAGAAAAAAACCCCTCTAAAATACCTCAAGTCTCCTGGTGTTCTTTTTCTGCTTATTTGTTTTAAAGGTGGGGTGGGGAAGAAAAGAGAAAAAATCCCCAGCTGGTGAATTTGGTTGCAGATGGAAGAGTCAGAAGCCACCCTGTAATGACCTTGGGTTGATCTTTGAAAATACTTTTGGAGAGAGAGAAAGAGAGTGTGTGTGTTTTAAAGGGTGTGTGTGTCTTCCATGGGATGCGGAGAAGGAGAGCCAAATACAGGCAGTCCCTGACTTACAAATGAGTTCAGATTCTGAGAAAATGGAAATTCATCTTTAAGTTTTGTAAGGGATAATGTATAGTCAGTCCTCTATATTCATGGGGGTTAGGTGTGCAGGACCCCTGCAAAAGTGGAAAAACCATGAACATTTCTTCCTCTTCCCACCCAAACTCACCAGAGCTGTCTCTTCGCAGCAAGGAAATGTGGAGAGATTTCCCTTTCTGAATGGACGGGGCGAGAAGACTTTGAAGGCGTCCCTCTCTCTCCTTTTGCTTCCTCTCTATGGTGATGCTTTGGAGGCCCTCTTTTCCCTTTTGCTTCCTCACTCACTATGATGATGATGATGATTTTCTGCAGCAATATTTAGAAATTAATACGCTTTATGGCAGTTCATTCATAAGAATGGGTTGTCCATAATGTGGACTTTTTAAGTTGGGGGCTGCCTGTACTGAAGAGCTTTGTGAGGTGATACCAGCCCCCTTACACATTTAGGAGCAAGAGTGTTAGTGGAGATTGGCACTTACTGTGTGGTGGTTTCCCACTTAACTGCTCCATATGACTGTGGTGTCTGCTGCCATCACTCTGGCTCTGTACACCAGCTGTCCCTTTCTCTCTTCTGACTCTTAGCCTGAAAGTACTGCTCACTCAAGGCCAGCATGAGAAAAATCAGGCTCTGTAGTGTAGCACTCGGGCTGTGTTCCTAAAGCAGCCCACAGAGCTCTCCATTCCTGGCAGGCCTGTCTGTATGAAGTATGGTCAGTGTGTTGGAATGAATCCTGTGGATTGGGCATACATTAAAACGGGCCTCCCCGGGAGGTTTCCAAGAGGGCAATGGAGGGGGGTGGTATGAAGGTTCCTACCCTGGGTTAGGAGAACCATCCCAGTGCCCAGCTTTGCTAATCAGGTCTGGAAGCATGTGGTAAGCCTGTTAAGTAACTATATATACCTCTTTGTAAATTATATTCTTCCATTATAGAGTAGTCAGAAGTACAAGGTGCTTCTAGCCCTATCCTATGCATTTTTACTTTCCCTGCTCTGGAGTTAAAACAGGTTCATACATCACACATATTTTGATCTCAACTACAAGTTTTGTTTAAATTGTAAAATGCATGCACAGTAGTGTCACTTGTGAATGGCATGTGATCAAATTGCTAACACTTTTGACATAAACATGGAAATTGCAGTTGGCAAAACATCAGAACAGTGCTTCTTTATTTATTCTGAGTGGGAACACAGACACTTAAATCTTCATCTGCCATTCACAACCCAGGGTTCTCTATGTGTGTGTGGTACCTGTTGCCTCTAAGCTGCCAAAAGAAAGTGTGAACTGGCCCTTCTGGTGTGTCCTTATTCCCATTTTAAAGCAGGAGGAAAACAACAGCGGCTTTTTCCCTTGGCCAAGCTAAAAGGAAGTGGCTGCTTGACATGCAGGGACATGTCCAGGTGGCAAATCCAGTGCAAGGCCACACCTCTCCACATGAACTGCATCTTCAGCAAAGTAGCATAATTAAAATAAAAATCAGCTTGTGACTGCTGTCAGAAATGCTGAAACTGCGGGAAACTTTCCACGAGGTTGCATCTTAAGCAGCTAGGCACGGGACTGTTCTGCACGGAGGATCCGGGAAGTCACGTTAGCAGCCCCATCTTGTTCCTGTGATCACTTGGATGTGAACCGCAGATGTACGGGCCCGGCACACAGACACCGCCCCTCCTCAGGACAGGCCGGAGGGAGAACACCTTTCCCCCTCCCCCTCGGGAACCAGCGCTAAGTAGAGATGTGCGCCCTTTTTCAAAGGTATCATGGGCTGTGTAGATTCAAGCGCGTGCTTGTGCGTCGAGGGCACTCTGCACATGTGCAAAGTCCCTCCGTTCTTGACCGTTTCTTTACACACGATTCGGGCTCAATACCAGCCCCGGTGCTTTCTGAGGTGGAGAGGAAAGCCGCCCCGCCCTTGCGCGGGCTCCGCCCCGGCCCCAGCAGGTGCGCGGTGTTGCTGCCGTCCGCAAGCCACACCCAGCCCCTTTCCCTCCAGCCATAACCGTCCGGACCGGCGGCTCACGCTATGTCGGACGCCCCTACGAGTGCGCGGCGCTGCCTGTTGCGCTGCCTGCGACGTGGCTGGGGGAGCTTGGCGCACCTGGCGGCGCTGGGCCTGACGGCTCTCCTGGTGCTGCTCTCGAGGCCTGGCACGAGTGAGTGGCGCGTCCCTTTCTCCCTTCTGCCTGCGAGGGCAACCAGCGGGGGGCGGGGAGGAGAGCGGCTTCCCAGGCAGGGCCCGGCAGGGCTCCACCTCTCGGCCGGCTTCTTTGGGACAAGAGAGGCGGCACGTGGCCTTGGGGGCTCTCAGCGCGCTAATCGCGCGGGCTCGCCTGCACGAGGATAACTTTGATGGTGCAAGTTCAGTTTGCTGGATGAGCCGCCGCCGCTTCCTCCTCAGCTGCTTAACAATGAACGGAGCGGAGGAAGGGCGGGGGGAGCCAGCGCTCCATCCGCAGAGAATGCCCTGCCTGTTGCTAAGTACCATCAAGTTGTCTTGCGGCCCTATGAATGAAAGCTCTCCAAAATGTCTTATCCACGGCAGCCCTGCCTGTACCTGAGCGTCTATAGCTATATATAGCTGGGTGGGGAAAGAAATTACATGAGTTTGGGGCGCTTAAGAATTACCTTAGGTTAGGCAGCACGCAGCTGTGAAACTGGCTAGAGCTGACATATGCTTTCTAAAACAAACCAGAAGTCAGAAAGAAGACCCTAAAACGGAGAACAGATTAAGACATAAGCTAGAGGGCTTTGGGGAATTATGGGGAAGCTTTGTTTTTGTCCAATTATTAGACCTAATAAAGAGCAAAACCTGTGAAAATGAAGCTACTTCAGTGCAAGAACAAGTGTTGGCACTTGGGTGGGAGTGCAAGAGGGAGAAGCTTCTGTCTGAACTCCTCTACTGGTTTCTTCATCTCCTGGATCCAGTTCAAGTTTTTAATATGTCTACTGTATTTTCATCTTTTAAATTTTAACAAGAAAGGCTGGAATGAATGACATAGAAGATAGAGAGGGATGAAAAGGAGAGAGAGGGAGAGCCAACTCCATGGAGCAGTGCAAATAAAGCACACTTCAACTGCTTCTTTTGTCACCCTGTGCTTGGATTGTAAGGAAGCCGCTTCATTTTAAAAGTGTTAATATAATTTATAGGATATTAACTTTTATGCATGACACAAGCAAATTATTGTGAGAGATGAAAAGAAACAATTCTTGCAAATATACTGGAGATGATGATTGCATGGCTGTCTAGAGAAACTGTATCTGCTTACACAGATGCATGCAATGTGCCTTCTCTGGAGAGAAAATAGTGTGTTAAAAAGTGCTATCATATTTCAGCACCCTGTAACTCTTCTAGTAAGCATGACACATTTTTCAAGTGCATGTAACACTTAGAAGTGTTAAGGTGCCCTTAAGCTCTTTGCTCTCTCAGCTAGGGAACCTAAACGGTGTTAAAGGGCTGGATTTTCCCTGATATTTCCGTCGGTGCATATGTGCTGAAAATTCTAATCTTTTCAAGAGCTAGTGCCTGGTAGTTTAGCAATGAACAGGATAGAAATGATATAGCATACCGGGCTAATGCTGCAAGCAGGGTAACTATTTTGTTATCCTATTGTCTGTGTATCCTGTCTGGAAGTTACCTGACAGTAATCTAGTCAAACACTTTAGTAGATGAAGCAGTCCTCTATTGAGGTGTTTCATCTAGGTCACTGTATGATGCAGTCAGACCGTGGGAAAATACAGGATGCATTATGCCAGAAGTTCATCCAGGGCAAGGGATGTGTGGCAGGATACTGCAACCAGGTGATCTACATTACCCAAGATAGCTGATAGCAAAGAGGGGCCTTCAGGATAACAAAAGGAGCATAGAAACAGAGTGAATCAGAAGGGGTCTCCTGGGCCATCTAGACTGACCACTGACTCTACCCAGCTCCACTCATGAGATGCCCATCATGTGCATCTCTAGTCTATCCTTGAACACCCTCACCGATGGGGCCTCAACCACCTGGCATGTTTAGAATGGTAACCCAGGAATGATTCATCCTTTTTTTTTATTTGTGGAATGGACAAAGAACCATGGACCCAACTCTTTTCTGGGACCTTGACTATCCACATTTAAATAATGCACAGGTAATTCCAAGTGAAGTGTTACCTAGCAGATTCCATGAAACAATCATCTGCATGAAGCATAGTAGCTTGCTTTAAAGTGGATATATATACTTCTCTGTGATGCAACTTGGTTGTTATGTTAAAGAGCAATTTTTGCATCTACTGGGAAATATATACCTGTCCCTTTACATCATTTCTTGGTGCTGCATCAGGTGTTGTCAACCTCTTGTGTGGAAAGCACTACATTGTAAGTAAGGTTATGTAAACCACATGTTGATTTACATTTGCGACAAGGTCATGTGTTTCTTTCACTGTGTGTTGCATACATGTGTTGGGAAGCTGATACCACTTACAATTTTGTATACATTAGAAGTGAAGGAAGAAATCAGGTGCTGCCTAACTTCTGTGTTTGACAAGATGTATGTGGTTTTCATGCTTTTTGGTTTGTAGAAACACTTGGAGCTTGAAATATTTTGAAGTGGATGTCCAAGAAAGGAAGCTAATCTAGGCTTTGTTTTGTAGGGTCATATTAGGGCATGCTTTGGTTTTATAAAATCAATGTTTGTACTAACACAGTGTGAGAGGTATGATATTAAGCATTTAATTAATAGGATGGTGTAACTTAGTGTCTTGCAACAGCAGGGGGTTGGACCCAATGACCTTCATGGCCCCTTCCAAATCTCCTATGATTCTGTAATTATGCAGAGTAGTGACATTTGTTTCAGTAGGAAGCTAAGCTGATGGCCAGGGTATTTTCAGATCATTTATGCTTTCCAGGTACATTTGCTGCTCAGGTTTTTCCTGAATATTTTACCACAGCACACTCTTTTAAACCAGGGTGAGTGCAAGGTAATTTGGGATCTCTGGGAGATTTGTGTTTGATGAGTAAGACTTTCTCATTCTCAGAGCTTTAACAAAAAAGAAAGGAAAAAAAAAGAATAGAAACACAATATCTTTTACTTCTTGAATTAGACTATTGAAATCGAAACATCTGGGTGGTGGGGACTGGCCAGAGGAAGATCTCTGTGTAAAACATTTGTGTCAGAGCTCCAGTTCTGGCACTGAACACACATTCCTGGGCTGAACATATGCTCAAAAGTACATTTTTCTGCAACTCTACATCCACTATTTTGTACGTGACTATGGCTGGTGGACCTGAGAGTTCTGTTGGAAAACAAGATCTTGCAGGACTGTCTGTCCACCCCTAATTTAAAACCATTGTTCCTTTTATAATGTATTAATATCCAGAACGGACATTTTGGGGAATGGCGTTTATCTTCTGTCATGGCTGCTTAAAGTTTCACTTCAAAATGTGATCGCTGTGTCATGCATAATGGATGTTTCTTATTTCAGAATGCAGCACCTCCTGTGAACTTTATAGGGTGAATACCAGATTTTTGAAGTCTCCTAATTTTGAAATTTTGATCTGGCAGTCTGGTTATGTCTGTCAGTGTTTCATTGTATAGAACTGCTTTCAGTATGGAAGCTTTTTAATGCTCCAAATGAGCATGATTTCAGTGCACTGAAGCACATGCTTAACTCTTCCACTGAACTCTCCTGCTCAGAATTGCTGGAGCCAGCTTATACTCAGTGAGTTCAGTTGCGATTAGCATGCAGTCAGCCATCAACTTCTACTCTGTCTGAATGTTTAGCAGTGACTCTTACAGACTGGTTCTTCCATGTGTACACTGGTAGAAAGCTTGTAAGTACTAGCTCAGGCTTGTGCTCACACTTGGCCAATAATAGGGATATTTCTTCTTTTACAAAGGAGAAAAAGTTAATTGTTAAGGATCCTCCCCTTACTTTTAATTAATAAATCATTATATTTTATAGCAACTTTAAAATGTTTGTCATAACAGACAAATAACAAACACTGAAGCAAGAAAAATAATGTATTGAGGTTTATTACTGTTTTGAAGGTCATGTGCCTGGACATCTGTATCATTTCATTGCTGGAGTATAAAGTAGATCATGTATTTTGAAAGTTAACATTGTCCCCCATATCTTTCTTTTTAATTTTATTTTTAAAGATACAAATACAAAAATCATATAATAAAGAAAAAATTCAATATACAAAATAAAGAAAAAGCAACAACACAGAAATCATCCTTAATGCACCCCTCCACTGGACCATGGCTGCCTAGTGTCGTCCCCCCCCCCCATTTTTCCGCTCTTTCTGAGATATTCCTTCCATCTAAACTGCAGTACATCCTTTGAGGGTTCATTACTCTCCCCTTTTATTAATATATATTCAATAAACATACCCCATATAGTATTAAAATCATTCTTCTTTACCAACCCCTTTTTCACGCATCTCACATGTCAGCTTGTCATTAACGGCTATATTCTAAACTACTTTATACCATTCAATTAATTGGAGATCCAATTCTCCTTCCAGTTCTATGCTATTAACAATTTTGCTGCATTTAGCAAATTTATTATTCTTTGATATTCCACTTCCATTTCTTTTCACAAAATATTAGCAACAATGCTATTTCTGCTTCAATTTTTAAATTCAATATCTTACTAATCTCCTTAAAATGGTTATGCACAATTTCCAAACACAGATGGAAATAGGTAACTGAACATTCATCCTTTGTGGCTGTTTAATGCAGGAGGTCAGTAGTAGTGGCCTTTCAGGAGAAAAAAAGAAACTTGCGCACCACTTCTGACTTTTATTGAGGAGCTCTTAATATGGCTGCACAGAATGGCTTAAACTAATGGAAACCATCAAACTGATTCATTGGTAATGAGAATGAGTTTTTCTGCATTCCCTACTCACAGTTGTTTGCAAGTTATTTAGTCATTGTGACCATCCAGTTTTGCTTTTGTTCTTAAACAGCATTTTCAGCATGTTCTTTTTAGAGCAGTGAAAATGCAGTGGTATTCATATAGCAAACGAAAATGCTTTTCCCACACGTGTTATTCCACTATAACACTGTGACACCTAGAGGTGATGTGGTAGAAAAGTTCTAAATTGAATGCTTGCAGATAAAGGGATTCTAACACTAACAGTCAGAAGGTCCTGGGCAGCAATTATTTCATCCTTTCTTAACACCTTTAGAGGCAGTGGGAAAGCATGGGAGGATTATGAATGGAGGGTGATGTCATCTGTCTGCACCCAGTCCCCGTAAGATTCTGTGAATGAGATGGGGGATGTTGCAAGAAAAACCTCATCTGGATGCACCCACAGTTTTGCTCCTTATGATTCAGCCTCTGCTAAGGCTTGCAGGAGCAAGCAGATGATTTGGACAGCCCTTTGCTGAGCGATATGTGGACCCTGCCCTCTCATTAGGCAGGGTGCGGCAGCCACCTCAGAGTCAATGCTGTGTGTGCTCCATCACTGACCCTGTGCCCCTAAGCTAGCCTGCCACACCTGAGATGTGCTGAAGGATACTAGTCTGTTGTTGGTGCAGAAGAAAGATTCAGCTGCTAGTCAAGTTGGTTTCAAAAGGGAGGAGCTATTTTGTCCTCTGTCTCAGGCAGCAGCATGTCTTGAATTGGCCCTGGTGGCATTCTTTGATTCACCTTGGAGGGGGGAAAAACTGACTGACAGCAAATGGGCCATGTAAATATTTAGCTTTTGGTGTTCTGTGAGAGAAATCAGACTCATAATTGGTTGGTTGTGCATGACATGACAATGCTGTTATATCATGTGAACCTGGACTGTTTCCTGCAGACTGGGCCACATGTCGCCTTGACAACCCATGACTTGTTGTAGGAGTGGCTGTATTCATGTCATGTCCCCATTGTGGATATTAGAAACTATCAGCAAATTTTTATTTCAAAAAACGAGGGATGAACCTGTAACATCCACTCCAAAGTGCTGCTTGGGCAACTTGGAGACAGTGTCACTCGCTGTCAAACTGGCAATCCCTTTTCATGATCCCTGAACAAAGAAAATTAAAAGGTGAGAGGACAAAGAAACTGTGATGAGTGGAAGATGGGTTGCAGTTGCAATGAGAAGAGTTTTCAGGGTGTTGAGAGAACCAAGGGGGAAATGGGGGGACAACCCCTGGTGAATCTGATCAGCTGTCAGGCATATTGTGGGTTGTCATGACTTGTGATGTGCCGCATATATTGTAGGAAATTAATTTAGGGTGCAATCATATGCACGTTTAGGCAGAAATCCTACAACTCTCAGCATTTTCTAGTCAGTATATTCTCTGACAAGCCAATTCTATTTTATTTTTCTAGTGCAAGGAAATATGAAATGTGAAAGCACTGGTATCTCTAAATTTTTTCAGCTACAGATGAAGAATAGGAGCTAATGAATAGAGGAGTAGGTGCAAAAGCTCTCATATTTTTCCAATAGTAATGTTGTACAGAATTTTAATACTGTGGAATTGATTTGCATTTTCAGCCGAAGCAGGGCATCGTCTGCCATAAAGAAGAGTGCTTACCCTTACACTTATTTAATGGAGAAAATAAAGGTTTTCAGAAAGAATCATCTAAGGATATGAATTTTGCTACGGGGTTCATAAAAAGAACAGGCAATTGTGGTGTGAGGTCTACCTCTGGGGAGATGGGATGCTGAGTAACATGGGACCTCTTGGTTCTGCTGGGGCCCCCTGGATGCTCCATGCATCACGCCTAATGTAGGCTAGCATCATCTCTGCCCTTGCTGAAATATGGAAAACTCTGCAGTTAAAACAAATTATTTATGCAGATTGTATAGCATATATCCACAGATGCTACAGAGCATTTGGAGAAGAGCCTTGCCTCAGAAAGTTGACTGTTCAAGAATGAATTCTGTTTGAATACCATTATTTTTCATTTCTCTCCTGAACTGGAAAACCAACGTGCCCAGGCTATTATCTAAAATCCTTCAGATGCATGGTGTTCCCACTGAATGCTGTGGAAGTCATGGGTCTCTTTCTCATTCTATAGCTAGTGATGGTTAACCTTCTCCTTGCTCCTATGCAGTACTTCTAACTGCAGTCCCAGTTTTGCCCTAGTATGTTCCTGTATGATCTTCTGTTGCCATCAAATCCGTCATGAAGCCATGTTTATTTTTCAATTGCTTAGCTAAAGCTGAGTGCTGGTCTGTTTTCTCTCTTCTTCCAGGTTTATTTTCCTGGCACCCTGTGTTCATGTCAATAGCAGTAAGTTATTTTCTGTTTATTTAATATAGCCAAGAATGTTGTTTGTCTTAGCTAGGTTCTTCTTGTAGAAAGTGTAACAAAGAGTGGGGCTAGCTACACACATTCACATATTAGAAATGCAGAAATGTGTCTTTCTAGCACACCTGGCAGCGGTATGCCATTTTCCCCTCTGCAGCACTCTTATCACAGTCAAACCTGTGTTTGTAGTGCCCCAGGAGATACCTGTTAAAGCCCCATGGAGGAGCAGAGTCCATGCTGCTAACCCAGGTGCGTTTTGATTTTGCTAGTAACCCAAGCACTGGTCAGATAGCAATTGTGACATGATGCACAAGGACCAACATGTTTCCCCTTTGTACCTATCACTTTAATACATGTTTTGTTCTGTAAAGGGTGAGCACTCATCTGCTTCAGCAGGTTGGTGCTTCTGTTTCTCTTTTTATAAAAAGAAAGCTTTTCTGCCTATTTGCCATTTGAAAGTCTATCTTAAACTATAGTATAAAATGCAAATATAAAATTTTATGTATATAATGTATGCTGCCCTGTTTCACGTATGCATGTTACCCGGTACATGTTATGCAGTATACGTGTGTGTGTGTGTCTTGCATAGCATTAGAAGGTACATTTCCAACTCCCTCCCCCAACAAAAACTATGTACGTGGCAAAGCTTTTCTGCCCCTCTCCTCATTCCCTCTGTACAATGTGACATCAGGGTGCTTCCAGATAGATGGCTCTTGATTCCGCCAACTAAAAGGCATTTTACAGCTGCTCTGTCTTACTTTCCTTACCTAAAGAAAAAGAAGCAGCAGTGGGAAAAGATGGAAGGATCACAAATGGAAAGCAGTCTAGACATCAGTCCAATGCTGTGAGTGAAGCAGGGCAGTTGCATAATAGAAGACTCATCTGGAAGCACCCCGTTTTGCTGGATCTAGTTTCACTGTATAAAAGAAAGATGCTGCTCCCATTCCCTTGAAAAAGAGATTGACTATTCATAGCCTGTAGCTGCCATTCTGTTACATCACTAGGAGGTCATGACTTGGCTTACATGACTCAGTGACCCACCATGGGTAATCAGCAATGGTGAGTTTTCGTGTTGCACTAAGCTTACTTTTCATGGGCAAGCCACCCTGAAAATATCTGTCCTGTTGTTGGTCCCCATGCTAGCCTGCCATGTTCCTGAATCTGGGTTGCCACGATGAGCTACAGTAAGGATAGCAAAACGGGCCTCTGCCACTTGCATTTGTCATCTTGCCAATGACTGTGCTTCCAGTGCTGAAATGGCACTTTGGAAGGACCGGAATTCATTGCTCATCTTTTGTTTCTTTCCAGTTGCCTCAGAACTATGCAACTATATTCCATACTTTTTCTTTTTGGTCTTTTGTATGTGTGTGCTTACAGCTGCCTGGTGTGTAGTTTCAGCTGTCAGAGAGCAGTGCAGTAGAGTAGGTAACAGACTGACAAGGCTAATTTATGCATAGGGACCAAATGCCAGATTGTCAACTGAAAGCACCATAAAGGAGGAAAGCAAGGTAAGCAGTAAAATGAAGGCAATATAATCTACTCAATTTTAAATGTTGAACTGACAGTTCTCAGTGCCCTCTGCTATTTCAACACATTCCAGAGTTTTCTGTTACTCCAGAAAGGGAGTGACATTAACCTTTCCCTGCTTTTTTTGTGGAGGTTGCTTTTTGGAGCAATTGTTGCAGATGTGCAATGTCCTTCTTTGTTTGTTTCCAGTCTTTTCATTTGGCAGAAATGTCCCCTTCATTTACTTTCCATCCATTGCATTTGAATCTCCTCCTCCTCCTCTTTCAAGAACTGTTAGGGAACCACAGTAACTGCTGTAGTTAGTGCTCCAGAAATAGGGAGGACTTAATGTAACCTGTGTGGTGTAGTGGTTAAGAGTGCGGGAATGGAACTCAGTTGACCTGAGTTCTTCCCTGCTCAGCCATGGAGCCAACTGGGAGACCTTGGGCCACTCACAGACTCAGCCCAACCCACCTCACAGGGTTGTTGTGGGGATAAGATTGAGAGATGAAGGAAGAGGCTGATGTAAGCCACTTTGAGTTCATAAGGAAAAAACCAGATATAAATAAATAAAAATAAATAATCTCTCCCCATTCTGGAGCAGCTGGTGACTTGGAAGTGCTGAAAAAGCACCACTGAGAACTAATAGTGCAATGCTTAAAACTGAAAGAATTACACTACTAAAGAAGAGATAGTATCTCCACCACTTTGGTGCACATTTTTCCACCCCATCCTGCATACTGAGGCTTTTCAATTGACAACTTTGTAAAAAGTCCCTGGCATCTGCAAATTAACCTGTATGTGCTTATCTATTTCACTTTGCCACTTTCTTTGACAGCTGAAGCTGAAAAAGATACTGACTAGGAAAGACTACACTTAACAGACAGTTGGAAGAGCACATTTGTGAAAGACCAAAGCAGCACAAATCGTGAACTCAGTTGCACAATTTTGTGGAGCTAAAAAAAAAAAAGAGAGACAACTGTGGTTTTTGTAAAGCTCAGAAAAACAAAAGCAGTGGCCAAGAAAAAGCGGTAGTGATTGGAGCAGGCAAAGGAAGACAAAATGGATTCTGCCACAGAAGACTCTGAGATGTGGGTCTGATCCAGCTGGAGGAATGGGGACGGGGGAGAAGCAGAACATCCCACAGTCAGGCCTATTATCTGTTGGGTTCACCATGGGTTGCTCAGTGAACACTCAACCCAGCATGGCTTATCCCAGGGTAATTTAGTGTGACATGCAAATATGCTTAGTGTCTGCAGCTGCCTTGGGGAATGTCTATTTTTTGGAGCTGAAAGCTAGGATAAAAATAGTTTTATAAATAAATGAACTCAGACAGGAACAAGACTTGATACTAGTGTTCTGTTCACACTTGCAATAAATTACCTCTATCTTTTGTTGCAAAATGGCATCTCTCAGCTTGGCCTCTTTAGTTTTGCTTCAGCAAATACACTGTCTGTAGATTCAAAGACGTCTATTGTTGGCAAGATGGGAAAGAAGTGCTCTCCTGTTATCAAAGCTCCCCTGTGGATAATCTGCTCTTGGCCAGGAGCCAATAATGTTTGGATGCCAAATGAGAGCCATATGCTGGAGAGTGGGGGTTATATGTGGTTTGCTTTGATAAGAGGAAGTTTTGAACTTTATCAGAGAATCCTGGGAATGGTAGCTGTCCTGGGGAACTAGAGGTTGATAAGGGTGGGTCTGACTGATTTCTTCCTGCTCATGCACTACAGTTACATTAGAAATTCAGAAGAATTTCAGGAACAAAGTTCCTTTTCCCTCACAGAATGCTTAGATATTTTACATATTATTCACATGTATATGCCACTTTCCACAAAGAGATCAAAGCGGTGAACGTGAACACTGGAAATGCGTAGGGTACTATAGGGATCAGTCTTGGGACGAATGCAGGGAAGGCAAATCATATTTGCAGGTGACACCAGATTGCATGGGATAAGTAAAACCTTGGGGGACTGAAACAAAATTCAAAGTGACCCTGATAGGCTGGAGTGCTGGGCTGAAAGCATCAGAATGAAATGTAATAGGGACAAGTGCCATGTTCTACTCCTAGGAAAAGGGAACCAAAGGTACAGTTACAAGATGGAGGATACTTGGCTGAACAAAATACAAGTGAGAAGGATCTTGGAACCATTGTAGATCACTAGCTGAATAAGAACCAATAATGTGATCTGGCTGTGAAAAAAAAAGCAAATGCTATTTTGAGTTGCCTTAATAGAAGTATACTTCCAAATCACTTGAGGTACTGATTCCCCTTTATTTAGCACTAGTTAAGTCCATCTTAAGTATTGTACCCAGTTCTGGGCACCACAGTTTAAGAAAGATGCAGACAGAGGAGAGTGACAAGGATGATCCAGGTACTGGAAACAAAGCCCTGTGAGGAAGGATTGAAAGACCTGGGCATGTTTAGCCTGAAGAAAAAAAGACTGAGGAGAGATGATAGCATTTTTTCAAATACTCAAAATGTTGTCACATGGAGGAGGGCCAGGATCTCTACTCAATCAGGCCAGGGTGTAGGACATGGAATAATGGACTCAGGTTACAGGAAGCCATTTGCCATCTGGACATCAGGAAAAACTTCCTGGCTGTTAGAGCAGCATGGCAATGGAACCAATTACCTGGGGAGGTTGTGGGCTCCCCCACACTGGAGGCATTCAAGAGGCAGCTGGACAGCCGTCTGTCAGGGATGCTTTAACTTGGAGTCCTGCATTGAGCAGGGGGCTGGACTTAATTAATGGCCTTATATGCCCCTTCCAACTCTACAATGAGTTTAACCTAAAATACAATGGCATCAATAGAACAATAGACATAAAAGCACAATACAAATGAATCAGCAATACAGTGACATTCTTTAATGTGTCAGTGAACCATAACTAGCAGGGTCATTTGTGTGAGCAGGTAAATGTTAAGACTGCCTCTAAGCATCTGAACTGTGGTGGCCTATCTCACTTTGATTGGTGAAGTGTTCCATAGGTCCTGCAGCATTGAAAGTTGTAGTGCAATTGTTCCTGGGGTGAGCCTTGGGAACATGTGGTACCCTTGTGAGTGTTCAGTTGCAGCAATTGGGCAGGGACACGAGGTATAAAGGAACCTGTTCGCAGGTTGTTCTGAGTTTTACATGCCCAGAACACGTCGAACTTGGCCCAATGGCTTACTGGCAGCCAATTTAGTACATTTAACAAGAGTGTAGCTTGTTGTTAGAAGGAGGTTCTGGTTAGTAGTCCCAGTGCTGCCTTCTTCATCAGGAACAGTTTCCGGATCATAGTCTAAGCTATGTGTAGCCAGATACAGAGTAGATTAAAACGATCCATCCATGAGGTTACCAAGGCCTGTGCTTCTCTGTCTCAAGAAAAGCAACCTGCACAGGTGCTACTGCTACTCTTGTTCCCCCATCATTGTGTGGATGAACATTAATGGGAGCTCACCATGACTGAAGTCCAGGGGGGTGGTTGTTGGACTGCCCTCTCTTCAGCCCTAGCCAGTATTTCCAGAGGTGAGGGATAATGGGAAATACAGTCCAATAACATCTGGAGTGCCGCATGTTCCCCATATCTGATGCAGACAATGGCGTTCTGATACAGTATGTTGAGTCCCCCGAATACGCAGTATGCTAACATGCCTTTACAGAATTCTTGACACTTTTCTACAGCTGCATTTCTCAGTGCTTCTTGAAGTCAGGTGTGACTGTTAATCCGAATTAAAACTGGATTTTAAACTCTACCATCAATATAGATCTCAGTTGCACCTTGTTCTGGCTATGCTTAACCTATTGGAGGGGGATGTTTTGGATAACGAGAGGCTGCTTTTTATGTAGTGGGTTCTTGCATTCCTACGATAGATTGACCACATGCAATTTTTAAGGTCTGAATAGCATTCACAGTTCTAAAAATATGACGTAAAGCTGTACGTAGAAGCCTTGGCTCATGCCAAGACCTGATTTTTTTCTATTAAGATGTGAAGTGTTAGCAGCGTAGGCCAAAATTTTGGCTCTGCTTCCAGTAGAACCTGCAGGCCCTGGGACCCCTTGAGAAGATGCTTCAGGCATTCACCATCTCCACCTCATCGTCACCACTGCCACCTTGCTTGCCTTTTCCCCCTCTGGTTCTAATATGCTTAACTCTCCAGTGGAGAGACAGGCATTCTTGTCGCCTGTTCACCTGTGTTCAAAAGGGAGGTGAACAGGCAGCTTCAGAGCCAGCTGTGGACCTCGTCCAAGGCCATAAGCATCAGCCATTGTGTCAGTGATGCCAGCAGCCCTGTGCAGCTCTTCTCTTGCCATAACTCCCTCCAGTCTAGCCAACTCTTGGGACCAGTTTGCCTGCTCGGTAGAACTATGGCAATATTTTCCCTTACATTATGTCACTTCAGGCTACATGTGGGTAGTGATATGTTTGAATCCTCTTCCACAACAACTTCCCAACAGCACACACTTATTTGCAGGTAGAAAAACATGTCAGGAAAAAGTCCAGGCTGAACTCTTGCTCTGACATGTTTGTTATATACACATACAGAGGTGTGCATGCACACAAATGGTGGATATTGGAGCATTGGTGCAATTTGACAGTTGCCCTCAAGAACTGATGGGGATGAAAGGTACAGAGTATAGATCCATATGTTCAACGTCTTTAATCACTTGCTGTTGAAAGTGGTAGAATACGGGAAAGACTTTAACACTTGATTTGGTGATGCTTCAGCCTTGGTCCCAAGCCTTTGGCTTTGCTTGTTACTTAGGACTTGAGATGATGTGATAATGAGGCTCCACACAGAAGAGCTGCCGCGTTGCTAATGGGTTCCTGTGTTCTTAGTTCTGCTTCTGCCTGATGGAAGGCATCCTGATCTTCTCACCAGAGGGATCCCTCTTCTGCTCCTGCTCCCACAGAGTGAAGGTGCAACTGCACTGGACCGTACAGACACTGGTGCTTGTGGCGGCAACCCTGGGCTTGGTCTTCATTGCCTCTAGCAAGAACCGGAGCGAGCTCCCACACTTCACCTCCTGGCACAGTGTTCTGGGTCTTCTGACACTGTTGGCAACTGGTGGGCAGGCCTTGTGTGGCCTTTGCTTGCACTTCTCAGAGCGACTGGGGATTTGGCCTGTGGCTCAGCTCCAACCGTGCCACACTGTGTCTGGACTGATTGTTTATCTGTTAGCCACTTTCACTGTGGTACTGGGCCTTTGTTCCGACTGGTTTCAAGCCCAGATTAAAGGCTTTGCCTGGTATTTCTGCCTGAGTTTGCCTTTCTGCCCAGCCCTGGTTATTGTGAACCAGATTACTAGAACTCGTTTGCCCAAGAGGAGACAGCATGTTTGAGCTTTAATCTTATTGGCCGGATCAGGAACCAAAATGTCATATCCATAGTTCTTTCTCTACCTTATTACAGTCAAGCTTTATATCTTATAAATGCTACTACTTTTGTTTCATGGCTGTGCATTGTGTATGATTTGGCAAAATGGTCCCCTTGTTTGGCATTTCTAGCATATGCTAATGCGTGTAGTTCAGCACTCTAAAAATATGCAGATTCTGTTTTCCAGCTCATTGGACAGGTAAACACAGATGTTTAGCTGGCCTGTATGATTGGAACTGCAGTACTTTCTTGATGTAGAAAACAGGTTCATAAATTTGCTATCTTCTCCTAAAGATGTGCTGGGGCTTAAAGCAATGTTCCTGACATTCTGAAATCATAAATACTCTTCCAGAATTAGACCTGCACTCGTCCCGCAAGACACTTATGGGGTATATTTGCTTGTAGTCTGTGCCCTTGGCACTGCTGCTTCCTCGCCTGCTGCTTCCTCACCTCCTATGCTGAATCCCTGCTGCTTCACTTTCTCATCAGTTCCTACTCCCTTTCATCACTGTTTCCCTAGCTTTGGATCCACCAGCTTGCCATTTTTTCTCATCTCGAGACTGAGGTCTAGGGTGGCTACTTGTGAATTGCCAAAAAGCAAGGTCACTGATTTGTATAAAATGTTCATATGCTAATGTGTACATAGAAATGCAAATGTAGAAATAATCATGATTTGAATAGAAATACACTATATCTCATTAGTGTGGCAGACTGAGCAGGCTTGTCAGTCCCCCACTCAGTCTGCTGCCCAGGTGCCCAGTTCTGCCTCCTGATTTATCTTTACAATGGACTTTGCCCATCCCTTCAAACAGAGTATGTCCAAAATGGAGGACAGTCCTCTGGTAGCTCTTCAAGATAGAGGACTGTCCTCAGTAAAGGAAGATACATGGCCACTCTAGGTGAGGTAAAAAATGTCTTTCCACATGTTAAATGTGCAGCGTGATCCAAGCAGGAAACTGATGCGCTTGCCATCTAGATTCAAGTCTGTGGGTGATGGCTGCTGAATCCTGCCATGTTTGTATGAGCAGGATCCCTGAAAGAATGTCAGTTCCTAACTGGCCATACACTGTTCCTAACTGCACATGTGTATGTCTCTCCTCTGCACATAGGCTCTAATCCTGAAGTAGGCAAGCTTTGCCACAGTGATTGTACATCTTTTCTTCACCCAGCCGGGCACATGAACACCAGTTTGGGAAAGAGTGTTCCTACTATGGGAATTAGAGAGCACTGAAAGACTGAACTATACAAAATCAGTCAGTGAATCAGTGATGGAGGATTCTTAACCAGAAATACTGAGTGTGCCTGAGCAGATGTGGAACACTTTTGTGTCTTACTGAATCATGGCATCCTCTTCGTTCCCAGTCGCTTAAAAGAATGAAGCGGGCTGGACAGGCTGTGTACTTTAGTGGTGGAACATATGTTTGCACGCAGGAGGCCTTTACCATTTTATGGGCAAAGGAAAACACTCCCATTTAGAAAACAAAACAATTGCATTTAATGAGAAATGAAACTGCTTTCATTAAGCCCTTGTTTTAGTAGTGAGGTAAGGGAGAAAATTCACTGGTGGACTGGTGGACTGATTGAAAAAATGTTGGGAGAACTTCAGCTATTGGGTAGTATAGAAATGACATACATAGCAAGTAATAATAATTTAACGGCACAAAGGAGATGAATGGTTTCTTGGTACACATTAGAGAAATCCTTACCACTTTGGGAGAGGGCTGTGTGAGTGCCTTCCCACTGACATTTTCCAGCTGCCAAACAATGCAGTCTATGAAACTGAAGCAAAATAATTTGAAGTGGAAGTGAATATAGAAGAGAAATATTAAAAATACATTTTCAGTTTGGAGCCATTTTAATTTGTACCTAATAAATACTAATGGCGTTGTTTGTTTGTTTTTTTCTCCAGATTGAATTAATGCACTTTAAGCTTTGGGGTCAAGGTCATGCCAATTAAATAATTTCTTTAGCCAGGACTTGTGTTATGCAAGTCATTTCCAGATGAGAAATGGGCAATTTGCGTGAGGCATGCAGCATAGAGACAAGTCTTGAGTAAAATTCAAACTGATACAGCTAATATGGTTAAGGTCATATTACGTGATCAATAGTTTGCATAATAAAGACACATGCCTCCTACTTGTTGAATAGGAGCCAGATGTCTTTCCTTAAGGTTGCTGCACATCTGTTGCAGGGACAGCCTGTTCTTCTCAGCACTGAAACAGCAATGCTTTGTGACTGGGGAACTCAAATGGTTTCACGAGAGGATGCATCCTTTGCTATATAAAGAACTGTTCCATGAAAGCTATGGGTCTCTGCCAGGTCTCATCTGTAATGTTGTGAAGGATGTGCATTGGATTTGGAAAAAGCCTCAGTTTCACTGGGTCCCTGTGGATGGATTCTGGAGTTCCCTGAGGCAGTGGGCTACTCTCCAAAGCGACTAGAACAGAAGCTGGAGCCTGCTTAGGACATTGCAATCTGGCTTTGGAAATCAGATCATCTCCAACAATTGTCTCTCTTGCTTTCATTTCTCAAAACAGTGAGGGAAGGACTGATTGAACGGTTCACCTAATCCTAAGGCACATTTTACCAGGGACTGTCTAATCATGGTGCACTGGTGGAAAGGTTGTTAGGTGGGTTTTCTTCCAACACTAAAAATTGTAACTATGTAAAAAGCTTTGAAATGATTTTTAGTCACAGCACCTGAACCTCTGCACCTCTCCTTTGAATCACTCACTTTCCTCTGTATATGAGAACTCTCCTTTCACAAACTGCTGCACCTGTCCTGAAATGTTGCATTTTTCTTGGGGCTTCTTTTATATTGTCTGCCATTTTCAGAAGGATGTTCCAGAAGGAGCATTGGCGGAGGTGCTCTCTTTGAGATACTTTCACAATATCAAGGCTGAGCTAACACAGAACCTCCTGTACGTATTCATCTGACACATGGCTGCCTCAATACCACCAGAAGAGTCCATTGTCCCTGCAGATTGCATCCAATTCTGCCAAACAATTAAAAAGTGTGTTTGTGTGTTGTATGGGGCAGGGGAGGAATCAACAGTTCCTTTTAAAAAATAGAAGGATGAAGCAGAAAAAGTTGGTAGGCTTACTCTCCTTCTAAGTGGACACTATATAGTTCATCAGCTTCTGAAAAACAGAAAAAAATATAGCCAGTTGAATCATTTCCCAAAATAGACAATAGAAAGTATGAAGCCTTGGACTTCTAGATTTTAATTCAGGGTCAGTACCAGAGTTTCAGGGATGGCTCCCCAGTTAGTCAGGGCAGGCCTGGCTCATTTCCCAAGGCATGAAAATTGAGTGTGAGTCAAGACTTGTGGTTGCCACACAGCACTACTACTGATGAGGCATGGTAAGTCTCCCGTTACTGTTCTGAAGCAGTAGCAAACTTCTAATAAGCCGTGGCATCAGACTGGTAGGACTCTGGAAATGGAACAAGGGGCTATCGACTTACAGATGCTTAAAGAGGGACCGAAAGCCTAATTCGCATCCCTTTACGAACAGCCAGTACTTTGGATGAGGATTACAGGCAAACTAGAGCAGAAGCAGCAAACTTTCCATGCAGGCCTTCCCCAGCACGCTTCTGGTTGTACTGTGATGGTGATACCAGGTATCTTATTTCTCACATCAAGGGCTCTTTTTCTAGCTCTCTGGTTTGCACCAGTCTGCTGCTGCTTTGCTGTTCCGTTTCCCACTTTCCCCTAGCTGTTGGGCTATTCTTGGAGAAAAAAGGGTGCTGCCTTTTCCTCGGCTCTGCATTCTTCATGCTTGATTTTGAAAGAGCTCTGAAACAAGTTGGCCACGCATCATAACGACGAAAGCCTACTCAGTACCAGCTCTGTTGCCCTGTGTGTGTGCTTGTTGAGCATGCAGATGGTGTGTGGGTGTGCGCGCATGCACTTCTTCAAATTTAATGAAGAGGATTTATGTTAGCAGAGGTGTCTCTGTAGGCATGAATCTCTGAAGCCAAGGTGCACAGTGCGCTTTTTCGTGGATCTTATTCCTGAGTAGGTACACACAGCATTGCACTGTGAAGTCCACTGTTTTAAAGGGAGTCACCATGAAGGACTTCTAGTGTTCTAGGACACAGAACACTGTTCTATGATACACGGGGTGGACTGCAGATTGCTCCTCGATGCAGAGAAAATGCTTTTCAGGCCAGGGTCGTCTTTGTCTCTCAACCACTGATACAGAACCGACACAGAAGGGGGCCAAAAATAGTAGAGTCCAGGTTGAATGCATGATGGAGAAGTTAATTAAGAAATTGCAGGGAGGGAGAAAGCAGCTCTGTGAAAATAATTTGATGGAGGCAAACAGCTATGGGTCTGAGACAAGCAGTTCGTTAATAAGATACAAACTAGGGACTGATAGACTAGCACCCCTTGCAAACAGGTGTTCCTTGTGTAAAACAGCAACGTGAGTATAAGAGGCTCAGGATGTCTCGTGGTGACTGCTGTTACTGGGAGTTCTCTCTAGAAGGGCAGGTTTCCAGTGTCCCCAGTTTAGAGATTGGAATCACTTGGGATTCTGATCGGCACAGTGAGGAATAAAAAAAGGCTCTTTGCTGCAGTAATTGACCCTGAACTCAAGGAATGCCTGAATAGAGCTCCAAAACATTGAGGATAAACACTGGGCATTGCAATGTCTTTGAAACTGAGCAAGGTTAGATGGAATGATTTCAAGCATTCTGTTTGAAATGGTAGACTTGCCTCCATTCCCCCCCGCCCCCCCCATAGGGTTGATAATAATAGCTATTTATGTAAGAAGCATTTTTTTTTTGCCTGAGAAGCAATATTGGTGTTTATTTAGTGTGAAGACGTGCCATTTCCACAAATGAAGGATTGTTGGCAGATCCTCCCGCCCACATCACTGGCTATTTCCATGGTGAAAGATACACCACAGGTGGGCAGAAAAAATAGTCATAACTATACAACTATATAGTACAACACTGGGT